CCACGCATTGGCAGTTTTTCCGTAGTTGTAAAAAACACGAAGCTTTTTGAACCGATCAAAAATGAATAGAGTTTGATTGAAAACGAAAATTGAATGCCGTTAATTCGAAACGTGTTCGAGGTAGCAACAAGTATATTAAACCTGGTGAAATTATTTACACAAATCACAGACTTCTCCAGTTCGTTAGGACGTTTCAATTTCACTCGTTTACCTGCGAATCATTCAATCAAAATGTTATCAAGTTCAATTCGATTCGCCTTGATACGCTTCGATCTAAAAGCAATTTAAATGCCGAAGAACGAGGAAAAAAGAAAAGGAAACTTTGAGCCGCCCTCGGAAAGTAGAAAATCTTGAAATCAATATCATCGTAAATTCATACGCGTTGCGCTGAAATTTTTATCGATCTGAACAAACTTTTACTCGGGATACATCGAGAAAAGAACTGAAGCATCGAAAGTTGCAACGAAATATAGTTATTGGACGGGATATGTAAACTGGAGTAGCAAGAGGATAAAAAGTAAAAAGGAAAATAAGAAAAGAAAGAAATATACAGATCGTCTGATCATACGTATTTCGAAACCGATTCTCCTTCGATACATATTTTAAATTTTGAATCTTCAAAGAATGAGCGTTTCAATTTGAAGGCATTAAATTTAAAAAAAAAAGGGAAAAAGGGACGTTAAAGGATGAGGCATCCTTTTTGCCCGTATTTTCAGAGCAGCCGGTGCAATTAACGCGTCCTACTTTCCCATAGAATTCCAAAATTTTTCATAAACAACCGGATCCTCTATTTAATGGTAATCCCTTCCGCTCGTTTCATTGCCCTTTCACCGTGGTCGCTAATTACTTACAAGATTAATTCCCGGCTAGTTCTACCGCGGATATTACCGGATTAAGTTGCTCTTTTGTGTCATGTTACAGACAGGAAGTCATTTTTCTTCGGCCAGCCTTTTCGCAACCCAGAGGGCTGGCGTAAAAAGGAGGAAGCAACAAAACAAATGCCGTCAGAATTTATCGCGTGCAAGTCTTGCAAACGACAATACGATTCTCACCGTGGTGGCTCAAAGTTAAATTGACCACAACATATTTTATCCACTGTGCTATTAGTTTCTTGTACAGTTAAGTTGCTTCTGTCTCGCTACGATCTCTAACCCCATCCCCCTCTTCACGCTCGATCACCCTTTCCTTTTTCTCCACTTCAATGATCCGATAGATACAATTTAAAAACCTCTGTCTATAGCGGAAGTAAATTAAGATAGAAAACGTTGAAGCATTTATCGTTCGAAAAGAAAATTATTGGGATTTCTTCCCTCCTTTCGCGATCTATCACCCATTCTCGCTCATCCTTTCTATCTTTACCCGATAAATACACGACCGAAGACAATCATTGAAACGAAGAAATTGAAAGGAGTAATAACATTAACCGTCGTCGTGTGATTACTCTTTGTTTGATAAGTTCGCAATCATTAGGCGCGCAAAGAAAATGCCGATCAGAGAGTCTCGCATAAAGGATTCATTTCGAAAAGAAAGGTAATATGTACAGAGTTTGAATAGAGCCGCGCCAGTCAAGGATGAACAAATAACCAGGTATCGGCCGACCCGGTGCAACCTTATTTTCCCGGTATCGCGAATTGGACGCTGGAATTAGGTCGGTCTTCACAAAGGAACGCGCGAAAATATATATACTCGTACATATATACATATTCTTTTTGTCCATCGATTTCCAATATCAAGAATCGACTTAATACAGCCGACCTTTCACCTGTTACGATGAAATTTTGCAATTGCGGAAAATATTGCGAAATTTGTATCGTGAAAGCCATGCACTTGAAAGTAAATATTCAGTGGATTATCCCAAGCCTAATTATTTCCGCACGCCGAAGCAAGGGTAACAACAGAGAGTGCTCGTTCGTCTGGTAGACTTTCACCACCATCGACTGCCATTTTTCTTTTACCATTCCCCTTCGTTCGTTCCGGGATTACTTGGCCAACGTTTCAGCAACAAAAGCGATTCGACCGGATTATTAGAAGAAAGTGTAGCGAAGAAGTAATTCGATGGAATACACGGAATAACTCGGAATTACTTTGTGGCCGGGCAGAGATCACTGGGAAAAGAAGGGGTGGAAACGGTGTGTGTACGATGGGGTTGCGTTGGCGAGAAGAAAATAGCAGAATTGCCATTCGTTTTCGCCGTTATTGTAGCGAGCAGTTGAATGTGTGTACATACAAAACTCGACGTGATCCTGTTCTATGTATGTTGTATATGTACGCGGGTACGAATTCCTTCCGGAGTCGTAGTCGTTCCACTAAATACGCGAGATCCAATTTGGACGAACCCCAAAATTCGAAGAAATAATGCCACCGCGTACACGTACATATTACATAAAGGGAAGTGCACGTACACGTTGAAACGCCTTTATATAAGACATTCGGTAGGGGATGCGTTCAATTTCAACCGAGACCACTGACTTCTATGCATAATACATAACCAGTCTGATGAGTCTCTCGCTTTCTCTTTACGATTTTTCTTTTTCCTTCTTCTCTATTAAACCCTTTTCACTACGAGCATATAGGACGTTGGGAAAAAAATCTGCTAGTCAAACTTTAGGACAGCCTACTACTCAAACGAGTCTTAATTAACATGGGTATAAAGTACATTAATTTCATCGCATGAAAGTGTCGTCGCACGGCACTTATGGCACACCAATTTAGAGGTAAAAGTTTCGTTCGAAAGTTCTGATAAGAATAAAATTTCTTCTTTCGATTGGCGCGATTCCACGATATCGGTGAAAGAAATTCGAGACTAATTAAGGAGAACGTAATTACAAGATCCGAACGCGATACACCCTGCCGTGCTCTATTCGGAAATGCACGTTTTGAAGATAGGTATTCGAGATATTTCACCGATAGACGGTTCGGTAAATAACCTCTCCCTCCTTCTTCACCTTCGTCCTCTATTTCTCAGCAAAACAGCTATATCTCGATGTACGAGTAAGCGATGCAGGAGAGAGTAAGCCGTGAAACTACACAAGATGTTAAACTCAAGGAAGATGAAAGTACAAAGTCTGGTCTTGACACGAGTTAACTTCAAACGGCCGAAACGCCAAGATTTCAACTCGGCACGGTTGATGACATGCTTTGTTACCGGGGTCTCTGCAACTCTGCCTCTACCTTACAAAAACACACGCTGCAGGATTACAATTCATAAAATTATACCAAGAAATTTCTCCCTTGTTCCATTCTCCTGCTCTTTTTTTTCTTCCTCTTCCTCCTCCTCCTCCTCCTCCTCCTCCAGTACGTTCTCTAAGTCCACTACCCTCTTTTCCGATAGAATGTTTTTCGTGTATTTATTAACCGGTATGTACTTTCTCGTTGCCTTCCGACGCTGCAGGCGTTGCGAGGAAATAAACAAAACGTTGAAAACAAGAAGATAATCTCAGTGGAAGTGGAACACGGTCGGAAGTTAAGATAAACAGTGAATTTACAATGGAAATTTCTTTTTCATAATCAGTCGAGTTCCACTAACTTTCAACATATTTTAATCCAACGTTTCACGGCTACGGAAAAGGTGGAACCGGTGACCCGTTTGTGCCGGTGAATTAGAGAGAAAGTAAGACGAAACATCTAAATCTCCTGAATGTTCATGGTACAGTTAACCAGAGGACGAACTCGAGGTTTCCTGCTTATTGTGTCCACTGATTTATATTCCTATTCTTTTGATTTAATGCCAGGCTACAGTTAGATCGCATTAGCATTAAAAGGCCAACTAGGATCCTAAGCTCGTACCACTTAGAGAGAGATAATGAAAAGTTCCAGATTGGTCCAACATTCGTTATAACGCGAATTCTCTCTGGTGTTCACGGTCGAAAACACGAATCCACAAGGGTGTCCATCTGTTTAACGGTAAACAGGTCGATTCAAGCTGACCCAACCTACCCAACAAATCCTTATTAGAGCGACACTTGGCTAATTGCATAGCAGTTCTATTGCGCAAGAGAGCACACTGCGCGAATGTGAGCTCCAACTGTTAGGTACGAGGCTTAGATAAAGCGATAATGAATGACTTCAGACTCTGGATACTCTGTTTATCCCTAATAAAAGCTGTTCGTCACAAAACCGCATCCTTTCGTTCGTTCTTCGATTAACGATAACGAGTTGCAAGGAAAAATTCCCCAGGAAGGATAAAGCATCTCTGGTTAGTGAAAAGTTGACGACGCTCGATTTTAATCTGTTTGGCTAAACCAGAAATCCGGATGATCGACATCCAGATAAACGAGCTTCCACCGTGGGGAATTACCAAAGTCATTTCCTGAATTTAACAACGCCATAAGCTCTGGTTAAAAGAGTGTTTAACGATCCATCTGATATCATCGATATTGCATAGACGAGTTTAAGCTTTCTGCCACTTTCAGGATTAAAGTGACTGTAAATCTTTCGCTGCTAATGTTATCTTCACGCGTCTAAAGTTAAACCGAAACTAAATTACTTACCTTAGTATACGCTATAATATACTATATTTCTTTACCGATAAAGCCGACGCAATTAAAAGTTGACTGCAAGTTAAAACTTAGCTGTCTTCTTCTGTACAAAGGCAGGAAGATGACTTGAAAAATGGAGTCCCGCCCTTTTCCCTTCACCTTTTAATTATTCAATCTTAATCTTTCCAAAAGATAAAGACGGAACAGTGGCTACGACGAAGCTTTTAAAAGTGGTAACTTTCGAGCAAGAAAAATGCATAGGAAGAAAGGAGTTCAAAGATAAGAAGACGTAGCGGGGTAGGAAGTCCGGGAGAAGAAATGACGAAAGAAACAACAAAAAGAGAAATAAAGAGTTCTAAAGTAGATACTCGTAAATAAAGACTCGAAGGGAAAAGTATGAAAAACATTTAAGCAAAAATAAATTTGATCCAGAGGTAAATACGGAAAACTAGTGACAAGAAAACAAATATTAAGCCTTAATATTTTAAAATGAAATAAAATAAAATAAAATTGTCTACTCACGCTTATGTTTGGCCTTCCTTCCGTCATCGTTGTCCAATTTCTCTTGAGATGATCTTGCTAGCACGATCACTTTTTTTCTTGCACATTGCAGTTCACACTTTTCTTTTTATAATTTCCACCTCTATACTTCTTCGGTATTTATCTATTCGTTTGCGTGAATTAACAACTTCGGAAATGGTGCATCATACGTTTCGCGATTTTATAGAATTCAATTACTGCAACTTGATTTGCATAATGATCCTTTTAATAACTTTGGTTAGATTTGCTTTTTTCATGCCCTACCCCCGTTGCCACGCAATCTGTAATTCTCTTCTTCCCAAGAGATTACTTCGGTTCAAAGAACGAGAGTTAAGCGAAATGAAATACAACTTCTTACTTGAAACGAATTACTTCATTAATTACGGAACTTGCGAATTACTTTTCCCCCTCGGGGTTTCTGCGGGCCTTTTAAATTCCACGATAATTAACGGGAATCGATCATTGCGCGAATTAAACACGAATTAATTAATAAAACATCTAAATGACTATATTTTATGTTATTGAGAAAAAAAGCTTTGTATGCTAATTTTTATCGAATTCCATAAATTAATCTTTGTTATCTTTGTCTGCAGGTATTACCGTGTGCTTTTCACTTACAATTGTAGTTTACCATTTAATATATAGATATTTAAAATTTTAAAGCATTCCATTTTACCCGCCAATTGGGTTAAAAACCTGTTTTCACGAAGCTACATCTGCGCATGCGCAAAACCGGAACTACTATAAATCGTATGCGAAAAAGAAATAAAAGAAGGAAGGTTAGGAAGAGAAACACGAAGGACAGGCGGGAATGCGAAAAGAAAAAGAGAAAGAAACATGCTTGACTCGGTGGATTTGCCTTCAAGAAACATCTTACGACACATAACTACTACTATGGCACGTACCAGTGTCTTCGAGTATTGCGAAATGTCGCTTGGCAGGCTTCTACGGTCTTCGATAAATTTGTATACTGTATGCCAAGCAGGTTGCCACGACAGGATTTCTCTTCCAAGAGACGTCTTTCTTTACACGATATTCTTATTGTAGGTGCACCATTCCCGAAGAGATCACCGTTCAAACATATTGGAAAACGTGCGTCGGCTAACACGACCGATAATACTACTTACACTTTCTTTGTGTCACATGACACTAAGCCCCTTTCAACGTTTATTCTCCCGTACGATGTCAAGTAACGGAATTTAATCGCGACAAGTCAAGATACGATCGTTCGGAGATGACTCGCACACACTTCCCGTTACGAAAGACAATTTACGAAAGTTATCACGGTATCGATAGTTATCGAACCACTACGTAACAGAATCGAAATTTCTATCGATACTATCGCTGATCGTTAAACAACAACGTAGACGCACAAATAATTTACAGCGAACTCGTTACGAAAATTAATTTAAACTTGAGTTTCATACACAAGCCGAAGACGTAAACAAAAATAAGGAAATTATTTAGGGAGATCGCGACGAACGATCTTTTCCCCTCGAGGGCTAGCGGCGTACTAATACGGGTGGCCATGGAGCCCAACAGTTTACGTTCCTCGCGCAAGCGTACTTCGAACGAAGCGCAGATCACCGATACCAACACTACTGAACCAACAGGGGATAGCATGACACAAACACACATCGATTGTATAGATACCTGTTGAATGCCGGAGTAGCACGTTGGCCGTCAACTAAATCGAAAAGGGGCGAACGAACCAACAAGGAAGAAATATGTATAACCTTCTCTAATACGTCGACGTGTACTTTCTCGATCGATGTTCATATCCATTAAATTTTTTGTCAACCGATCCCCTGATTTATTTGATGTAGCAAGAGCAAAGTACAACTGCTACTTTTTATTTTCAAGGGTACTCGAGATATATCAGATACATCCATACTGTAGTAATTCATCTTAATCATAAGAATGATCTTTTTGATAATTTAAGTAGAATATCATTGAAAACATGTAACTGATAACAGATAACGTTGATTCTCTACTTTGCGCGTTAGATTAGGTAAAAATACGAAGGTACCCTGTTTGCCTAATGCCAGGGATTGTCCCGGTTTACAAAATTCGAATAATTAAATAACTTTCACAAATAATTGTAAAGTCAAATACGGGTTGTATAAGATACACTCTGATGGTACTCTCGATGCGTCGGTAAAACATAATTTAACTGTCGAGTAAAAAATTATGAAAACTGGAACTTGAAATTGACTGTGACCATGGTTGCAAACCGGAATCATGCGGTTTCTGTGGATGGAGGTAGACACAAAAGGAAAAGAAAGATCTTGTTACATTCTCCGTGAAGGACTCCATTTAATCACGGATTATGATATATCTATCTTACTTGAAGAATTGTCTTACGTACTTGTAGGATTACGAGTAGGCTAATAATAAATTGAACAAAACGAACATTTTTATGTACACGTTTGGTGTTAGTTTATTTGGTCTTGCAATTTTGATTCGGCACAACTTGGCAATGATTTATCATTTTCTTTTCTGCTTGTCAATGATAACGATTTAATTTATAAATTGACTTAAATATACGCAATCTTTAATCTGTCTAACGGATCATATCGTGTGATAAGCAATCATTTATAACGCCATTTATATTTTATATATGTGTATGTATAACTTGAAAATTGTCAGTTCTACTTATTTAATTTTAATTACACAATGTAACAAGAAAAAATAGAGAAGACCCTTAGGTATAGAAGTACTGAAATCTTGGCACCATTTCGTATGGTCTTTGATCAAAGAAAGATACTAAAAGCTGTAATTAAAAGAAAAAAAAAATTTGCAAGGAACAAAACATAAATTATACACATAAGTCTCCGATTCACCGAGACAATGAGGAAACCTTCTCGTTTAATTATAATGATTTATTTATTATAAAATTATGCTTCCAACAAATTGTAAAGGAATATATGCATGCATGGAATCGAATCGATCGTACAAAAGCGACCATTGAAAGAAAATTTCTTTTGCAATCGAACATTGATATACAGTTATTTAATCTTTTTTAGGTTCGAAGCGAATCACTGTACACGTGGATCTTCTTTTCTTTATTTAACATTTTATCTTTCTCCATCGAACGTTCGAACAAACGTTTACATAAGGGAGAACAAAGGGCATTTCTACGAGTTTCAAGCTGCCTAAATCTCCTCTTGGAATTGAAAATCCTTGCTCTCCCTTACATAATAAAAATCTTCGTTTATTCTTCACGTAACTTTCTTACCTATAAAATACTTGTTTTGTTGGCTGATTCTTTTGTCATAAAAAACGTATAAAACATTGCTTAAAATGAATGTTTAAACTTACTCGAGGTAAACCCATACGAGTGTTACAAGGAAACGATCTACACATTGAATGAAATGAAATTTCATTTTCTCTGTTTTCACTCTTTTTACACACTTTTCTGTTTCTAAGCCTGGCACGGGGTGCGAAAACAGAAGTCGAAGAAATTCCATAATACACGACCAACGATGAGCCAGTAACAGTCTTCAGAAGTTTCAAGCACGAGAAGTTTAATGGAGCCTTCTGACCTATTTATGAATATTTGTAAACTCCAAAAATATATCTTAGATGATACATGTGAAAGAATAGACGCAGTAAAAGACGATACCTCGAAACATGCATTATCGAAAAAGACGCTTCTCTCTTTCTCAAACATTATTATCTACTCTATTTTTTTGCTCTCTTTACGATTGACTTCAACAGTTTAATCATACAATGTAATCCCGATAATCCAGACTAATCTATGAAATTACAACAAAATAACAAGAAAGAAATTAAACAAAAAACTGATGAACGAATTGATTACGTAGATAATTTAAATCCTAGTTACACTTATCTAAAGGTGTCTTGTTAAAAAACGTATCCTAATCGAAAAAAAAAGTTTTACTAAAAATACTGTTTTTATTATTAAATACTTCTCGCTAAAAAGGTACAGTTTCTTTTTTTTTTTTTTTTTTTTTCATTTTAATAAAATCTTTTTAAGATTTACATTCACGAGGCCCATCGAGATTACACTGTACTTGATAATAATAAAAGCATATTATCGACAAGAATACTCATATTGCGAATGGTTTCCGTAACAAAAACAGCCATTCATTTTCTTCGAAGGGACGATTAAATAGTAAATAATCTTCTTCTTTATTTTTTTTTTTTTTAATATTTATCTCATTTGGTTTTAATTTCCGTCATTTAATAATATGTACGTGCTAATCGTATCTATTCTCAACAAGTTCATCCCTTACAATGTTTAACATAACAGCCTGCCAGCAGCGCAAAGACTAAAGACATTTCACTTAGTACGCTCTTTTTTTTTAAATCTTCATCATTTGTTTCTATTCTTCGCATTTCTTTTTCTTTTTTTTTTTTTGCCTTTTCATTTTTGTCAGCGACAAACTAGTATATAACTTCTTTTTTATTCTTTTATTTTGTTTCAAATAACCGCAAAAACTTACGAGGCAACGACACAACGTACGTATAAGCGTTCCTGAAAAAATTCATGATGTCAATTTATACTATTCGGTAACGTCACGTGTAACTCGTTGCTTTGTTTCTTTATATTTTTTTTTTTTTTTTTTTTTAACGACTCTTAATTATAGGCCTCTGGCAGAGGCGATTCTTGCGAATGCGTTCCACAGGCATCTAGGCACGACAGATATAAAAGTAGTACGTTCAGGAATATTCAGATTTATAACAATTGATATTCTAAAATAGTGCTATCACGTTCATCTAACTCTAAAAACGACGTTTTCACTTCTTTTTGCGAATTTTTTTGTAATCTTTTTTTATATCCTTTTTTTTTTGGTTTGTTTGTTTGCTGCTAAATGATGAGCTGGTAGCGTTGAAGCAACTATATATCACTTGTGTTTATTAATGTCTGTCGTTTACGCGTCAGTGGAAACTTCGCTCAGAAGAGTAGCGCCTCAAACTTGCATACTAAAATTCTTCTTTTATTACAACATCAAGCACATGGTCATTTTCTTTCTGACCCCTTTTGAATTCGTATAAAATTTCTTTTTATTTTAGAGTATGTACACAGGATGATTCTGGCGACCGAAATGAACTATAACTTTATTGTAAGTGAAGAAAAAACTGTACTGAACACCTCCTTTTACATGGGGGGAAAAGGAATCATATAATTTCATTAACAAAAACAATCTATACAATGTTAATAATACTAGTTAAATCATACAAAGTTTCTATCTATCATCTTTTTTTCCGTCTTCACTTACAATAGACGTACAGCCTGGCTCGATAACTAGAATCACTCTGTATAGAAGGTGTTTGATAAACCATAAATTCCTATGATATGAAGAAAATCCTCCGCTAAAAGCAAGACAACCTTCTTAAAACAATCATTAGTAAACAGACCTTTTTGTTGTTAAATTCAACTTCGAACACCGTACGCTGGCTTAATTACTTATCAATGAGAAAAACTGTCTTATTGTCAGCGATAGATTTCTCCATACGCAAGAAACCTATAATTTATAAAATACTCTGTATGTGTGTATATATATATATACTTAGGACCCTTATTTACCTAGGTTTCATTCACATTTTCTTGATTTTTTAATAGCGAGTATGTAATATCTGCATAACTCTCGCGATACCTTATGTAAATCAACTCGAAGAGTATATAGGAAGTAACCTGTGTTCTTTTCCTTTTATAGATTACTACGGACACGGATACATCTTCCGAAAAGTGCTGGGTGCAATGAGAGAAAGCTTTTTTTTTTTCGTTACCGTACAAAGAAAAAAACATTACATACACCTCGACAGTTCTGATATAAGGGAGGGGGCGAGGGATAATTACGACGTTGTTGTGTTTTCTCTACGATCAAACTCTCCGATAGACAGTTGTCGTCGAATGATGCCGTTCGATTGATTGATTGATTAGATCCGACTCATCGCTGTTTACATTTCGCTCTCTTCGAAAAAGCTAACTCCCAATATCACTGCAGCAAAAGAGAGGATACATGGAAATAGACTGCGGTAGAGACTAGCAATTATTGGGATCCGGTGGCGTAACAAGATACTCATCCGCGCGTTTGTGATCGGACAATGCCCGCATTGTATACGTGTCTTGGGGTAAGTCACTTTTCCTTCGCAAAAGTGGCTTTGTTTTATTGGAATTCGTCATTTTTTTTGCCTATCGCAAAAAAGATTCATTTTAGACTCCTTAATGATAAAGAGAGAAAAGATATACGAAGAAGGAGAAGAAAGGTGGGATGCGAGATCAGTCATACCTCATTTGCTTTCGCTTCTATCTTTTCCAATGTGAGCGGAGTTTGATCTGGGTCGCCATCTTCATCTGGCGGAGGACTATCTAATTGTTGCTGCGATATGGTAGAAGAACTGGTATTTATTACACCTTTCACGGTAGCATTATAATTCGGATGTTTCATCGCTAAAGCTTCTACGCGCATCCATGCTTCGTCCCTATCTTTCATGAGCTTCCTCTCTCTTTGACGATCCTGAAAATGTTTCTCAATGAAAATTGTCTCTCCTCTTTCGTTTCATCATGCTCAGAAATAACATACTTGATAATACTGTTGAGTACACTCATCGAATACTTTTTGATTCATCTCCATGAAGAGTTTTAACGCGTTATAAATCAAACCGTGTATGGTTTTGTTCCAATGGTTTCGCGAATTTCTGTAAAAAGCTGGATACATGATTGGCAAAATAACCGAATAGTTATCCGATATAAGGGACATTATATATTCGTTGTTCCAGTAATAGAGAGCTCTTTCGGCCACCTGAGGAAATTTGTAAAGCATATTGAGGAAATAATATATTGAGTAAAATATTATGAAGAGAAACAACATTCACGTCATACCTGGAAATGTGGAGATGAAACACATTTTGCTAATTGTCTAAACAATGGGTCCATAACTTTCTGAAATTCGGCAGGCTCGATCACATCTAGAATCTCTTCGAGTTCGTTCAAGAACATCACTTCCTTCGGGGAATGTGTCTTCGGCCAAAATTTCAACAAGCTTCTAATAACAGGTTCGGTCAACGATGGATCCTTCTCCAAAAATTGCACGACGCAATATGCTAATTGCGGATGATAGACGGAAAGCGATTTAGCTTTATGCAAAGGCAAGAGCACCTTTAATAGAAATATTTTGTGCTCTTCCTTAAGTGGCAAAGCAAATCCATTGATTATGCTGAAAGAATAAGAAAATCAATGAACGCGTTGTAAACTTTTTATTTTATTCGCAATGGTTCAAGTCGATGCTACCTTCCCAAAATCTCTAGGAGTTCAGCGATACCGTTATGGTGTTCTGTTTCGTATATAAACCGATAAAAAACATTGTTTATTTGTTTCCTGATATACGCTCTGAGCCCTAAGAATTTCCCGTAAATCCTATGAAGCGTTGTTTTCAAGAAATCTCTTTCCCGTGGATCCTCCGAATCGAACAGTTCCAAAAGTTGTAGCACGAACTTCTGGTCTATATATCGTCTGGCAATGGAGGGCTGAAAATCCTGAGACTCTAACAATCGTAGAAAGAACTCGTACACCAGCTGCAAGTGAGGCCAAGCCGCTTCCAAAGTCGGTTCATCCTCTTCCGGATCAAACTCCGCTCCGTTTGGATTCGACGACGGGGGAAGCGTGCGGAATAGATTGACCGCAAACTGCAAAAGCTCGATCCTGTTAGAAAATCTTTCCATTCTTTTCTCGAGAGTGAAAGTTCGTAACATCTGTCGTGCCGGTGACTTTCACTCTTGATTTTTATCAAGAGAAAAGATATCCTACGCGATCTTACGTTATCCAATGCAATCGAGGACGCACGTGTGCGTCGCGGCTTACCATGTTCACGGCTTCGGGATATATCGCCTCTGTAATAACGTTTTTGTTCTTGGTAACGTACTCGACCATCTCGTGTAACGCTGTACGCTTTACTTCTTTCCATTTCAAGTCCGATAACGGATCGGACTCGAAGTCGAATAGAACGCAACATTGTCGCAGCTTCTGTATGAACAGTTCTTCCCTCTCGTTTCCTTGTTGTGTTTCTAAAACAAACGAGAAAATAATGAATTATTCTTGTAGGAAGAAAAAAATGGTGTATTCAAAAACAATAGCTGGAAAAAGGAGTTTCGTACGAGTACCTTTTCTCATTCATGAACTCGCATGAACCCTCACCATGAATTCTTTCCCCTGTTAAGTAACACACGCACGCGCTTCACACAAATTCGTCAATTGTTGCAGTCTCTCCTTTACTCTTTCATACCCCCCTCTATACATCTCATCGCTCATTCATACATTCTCCCAGACATACGCGCACACATTTCTTCTTTCTTCTCTTAACCCTTTGTTGCATTATATTGCAAATATGTTAGATAAAATAATATACTATGAAATTCTTCTTCTTCTTTCTTTTCTTAATTGTTCTTCCCCTTTATCACTCTTTCATCCCCCTCTTCGATTTTCTCGTACATTCTGTTTATCTGTTTTGGACTCTTCCATACCCCTCCCTCTCTGTCTCACCCTCACACCTGTTCCCATTTTCGTGACCTGTCCCTCTCACGCATCCCTTTTAGACTCTTCCTCCCCTTGTCGCTCTGCAACATTCGCTCAAACCTGACAATTACTTCAACACGTTCAAGAGGAGAATTCAAGTTGAAAGGCTTCATTACCGATTAACAGGGGTCGTAATGGTTGATAGTGCGAAGTGAAGTTGGTCAAATAGGATTTATTCGTTTCTCGTGATTGCAGCACGGTGGCTAAGGCCAACCCCTGATGGAAGCTCGGACTTTTCGGCAGTCCGCCGGATGGAAATGGGATATATCCGTCCACATGAACCATTCTACTTTTCGGTAGGTTCTATATCAGCGATATCGTTCTTATTCACCGGGAATTCGGCTCTTTATCTTGGCCTGATTATGACAAATTACATCCCTACACGCACCGGCTTTCTTCTTCACATAACAATCTGTTGCTTCGACGTAACTGACCGTTCGTTCGAGTCAGAGCGAAACCCCCGGGCATACCTTGCGTTTTCTAATTAAATACGAATCGTTCGATGATTTTTGTCGCGCAACGTCGCGTCAAGTTTATATGCTTTATAAAAGCAGCCTCGTTGAACGAGAATAATGCGTGCGATTTGAATCGAGAGATATTCCGCCGATATCGAGAGCCGTTTGAACGAGCAACGACTGTTTACTAGTTAGAAAACTAGGAATTGCGAGTAATGTACAACCGCATGCGCGAACCACCGCGCCTTACAATCGATACAGCCTGACTGACGTAGCTAGTTTCGCAATTCGAAACGAAAGGAATTAAAAAACAAAACTAATTAGTTCAATTTTCGAGACAACAGTCACGAGTTGCAGTTGAAGCGTAAAGAAGATAGGGGTAGTTCCACCCCCTTTGAGACAGAGAGTTACAACATTTTAAGAACGCGTAATCTACATGAAAATGAAAACGTTATCGATAATTACAGTTTTTGTAAAGACAGATGAACGTTATCTGATAAATAATTGCGTTATTAAAGATTTACAATATATTAATTGAACATTCAACTACAGATTCTCGATCGATTACCGATCATTTTAGCGCTGCCCGCCGCAGAGTTTCTTTGCGGATTTCTGTACTTCCGGCGGAAAGCTGATTGATAGTGATCAAAATATATTAGATACCCTTCACTCGTTAACTCTCACTACTTTCGTTCCTCGTTAATATCTTTTTTTTCCTTAAACTCGTGAAAGACAAATTCTATGCACCGTAGAAGTTTTCAATCTGGGATTTCTTACTCCTCTACTAAAAAAAAAAAGAAAAAAAGGATTATCTTTGCTTCAGGGAAAACTTTCATCGTCAGCTGTTTTAAATTATTGTTTAAATAATGAGAAATCGTGCGAAATTTAAACAGTCGAGTCTCAGAAAGAAAAATTAACGAAGCAACAGAGCGCGCTACACCTTATATTACATAAAGCAACAGTAGGTAACCACTCTGATATACCCTCCGTGCATTCATTAAGTATATTGCGGTTTATTCCTGGCAAAGATAATAATGACAAGGTTTATTACTCCTACTTTGGCAAACTGTTGCACTAATCAATGATTATGTAGCAATCGTTGCAGAAGAAAGCGACATAGACCACTTTGAAAACCCTGAAGACAATAATAGATCTTAATGAATTTATTGTAGGAAGATAGTTTGACGAAAATTATTCGTCATAAGCCGGGTTAAAAATAAACATCTGTGCTCGACCGAACTTACTCCGCACTATTGTTACTATAATTAATGAAGATCGCGCGAATATAAATATTAACGAAAGATAAAAATTTATTCCTGATTATAATTTATTGGAAAAAATTTATTTTCTTCCATAGTTCTTTCAATATTTTTAACTACAGAATGCACACTATATTTTTAGTTGTACCGATACATAATAATAGGACGTGAGCTACCGTATAATCGTAACAACTTACCGGATAAAAGCGGTAACTTTTGAAGTTCTCGGTTTTTCGATATGTTGAATCTTGAGCTACTCTGCCGTTTATCCTTTTTTATCACAGGACCGCCAGGTTGATATTTAATCTTATTAATTAACGTTGGTGGTGGTGGTGCATTGGTTGCTGGTGGTCCTCCTGCTACCTTGTTACTCTATGAAATAATGAATAACAGTTCATAACAAAAAGGGTGAAAAGCAGAACGTTTATAATCGATAATTAATAAAGTTGCATACATGAAACAATAAATGATGAGTCAATTTAATATTAAAATAGGAAATCCAATTTTAAAGGATGCACCTAATTTTTAATAATGGATTAATTTCATGTAACTTTATGGAAATGAATATCCAAACAGCCTGGTAGAACTTTCACTTTGATAGTTTGTATTCTTTACAATGTTGATAAATACAAACATCATCCAGGTAGACACTGCATAGAAAAGTTTTCAAGTTACGCACGGAGAGTAACTAGAAACATTCTAGTTAACATACAAATCCTCAAAGGATATCACAAATTGGAGATAAAAATTAGTTTTTAAAAGCAAGTATGTATGCCAATTTATGTGTATTTTTCATTACATTCGGTACAATTCTTCCAATGTTCCATTAATGCATGGCTTCCTCGAAAGAAGTTTTGTAGTTGATCTTGAAACCATTCATGCGCTACTGGTCTTGGCCCTTCATCTGAGCTGATGTCCTTCTATAGCATCTTCTAGTGGTCAAAAAAGATGACGGTTACTTGCAGATAAGTTTGAACAATATGCAGCATAAAGTAACACTTTTGTATGTCAGTATTTTGGGTCTACTTTCTAGTATACTACGCAACATACCCACATTGTGGGAAATGAAGAAATTGATATGGTTGCACAAGAATAACTTCAAGATCAATCACAAAACTTCTTCTTGAAGAACTCAGTGGATGGTGGAGCCCTTGATGATGTGTGTTGCATATAAAAAAGACTATCTTATAAAACAGAAATTTTGAATCTTTAGGTATTAATAAACTTATTCATTAATATAATGCATTAAATCATTTTTTTTTGTGATTGATTGAATAGTCTTGAATATACATATATATATATATATATATATATACATACTGCATTCACTGTTTTACTTTTTTTTAATTATTATTATTAAGCTTCTATTTATTATATGTATACTACTTCAAACAATTATTACTATTGAAAATGCGTAAAACGATATGAAATTCATGAATTAGGTAATTTTTTGCATTATTAACGATTCATGCAACACTATACGTATATACTTTTCTACGGAATATACTATATAATATACGTGTATTAAGTTTTGTAATTAAAATAAACAGTAAATTATTCTACCATCAATTTCCTATTTTTCAATTAAGTAATGAAAATTTCGACAAACGAACAAAATTCTTGTATAAAGACATTTATTAGATCTGCACGAAATGAAAATTATTAAATATAAAAATAAAAATCGAAACAGAGTTAATTGGTCATACAACAATTAACGCATTAACCTTAACAATCAATTAACATTTTTACCACCATATGTTTAACTGCGCGATAATTTCATCCTTGGAATTCATTCCATTCATATCGTAAATAAAAAATCGCACTCCACATGGATTATATATGCGTAATTACTATCAGGAAGTATATTTAAAAAAAAAACAAGAATTTCCTTAAAACTGAAATCATTCACTGTTCTAATGATGATGATGTATAAGATTTATCTACAAAGAAATGACAAACTATAAAAGCGAAAAAAGATACCAGTTGAAGCCGAAACATCTTTCGTTTACATCGTTTTCTATTTATCAACTAAGTCCATACTTAAGCGCCACCTGTTCGGAGCAACATTTTTTTCAAAGGGAACTTTAAAATCCTTTCAAACTCATATTCATAGAACAACGTTTAACTAAAAGAAAGATACACTGAAGAATTATCTTAAAAAAAACATGTATCTTTACTTCAAACTACACGCATGTTATATGAGTTCGCGAAGGAAAATATTTCAGGTGGCAAACGGTCGAAGATGGACACCGGATCGCTCTGGTGTAGAATAAGTCACGAACAAAGTTCCGATAGTGAAAAATACAACATGAAAAATTTGATCATCTCAACGGATCGAATTGTTAGGCGGGTAAAAATAAAAATGAAAAATCATAATGAGAAGAATTGTAGATGACAGAAGTCGATTCGGACTGAATCGAGTCACGTCAATCGAACAGAAGAGAGAAGGACGATATAACCTCACCTCGTCGCTTGTCTCGCCGTCCTTGCCATTCTTTCCCTTGTCCTTGCCGATCTTCGTTGCATCCTGGAACAAAACGAGTAAATTGCACCGCGTGTACGAGCGTACAATGCCACGACAGCACGATTCACGTTTGAGACGCGACCCGCTCTCGACAAACTCGCACTTGCGATATCACAACGGTAACGAGAATTAGTTGAAGTACCATTGCCAGGTCCTTTGATAAGTTCGGTCGAGAAAACGTGTCAGCGAAACGGATATCAAGAAATCAGAATCACGCTACACCCTTTGGTGTCTCAGCTACCGGGGTTGTTTCCCCGAACTCTCTTTACTCTCCCTTCTTCCCTTTCTCTCCTATCCCTGTCATCGTCACCCTATCTCTCTCTCTCTCACTCCCGCTCTCTTTCTCTCAAGCGCGCGCGTGCCCGCGATCTCTCCTCTCGTCGAAGGAACACTGTTTTCACGTATGTGAGTACCGATCGCATAAGGAGAGACATATGACCAGACAGGAGCGACATGCACCATGATGAACGCACCTTTTCTTTTTTTGATTGCCGACTCGACATGTTATCGGTTGTGAATAAAGAGTACGCGCAATCGATTGAAATACAAGTTAATACACTTTAGAGGCACGTAGTAACACATCGAACAACGGTAAACGACCAACACGAAACACTCATTCGCGGCGGCCATTGGCTATGCTTAGCCATTGAACTTTTGGCCGGCGATTCGCGCCACTCACTGAGAAGGCTGGGCTTACACTTTTCCCTAGCCTTGAAACGCCACAGAAACTTTTTTCACAGGCTATTTTTTACTTATCCTATTGTGAAAATTACTTTAACTGTCTCAACTTCATACGCGATAAGTGAAGCGAAATATTATCAACATTAAAATTGAATTTCAGAATTCATTACATGCGACGCTATGTTTTGCGATACACAGGTGTAATATCAGTATGTGTATGGGATACTTGATCGAACTTCTACTTTCTCCATTGAAAGAATAATAAATTGTTAATTGATAATGCCATTGTTTAAATAAAAATTATTTAAATGATATTACTTAGTTCAATATATCATTAATGTTCAATGTATCCAAACACAGAACTGAAGTGCGCTGTTAAGATGCATTTAAATTAATAAACGTGAAGTAGGCGTCAATATTTATAAACATCATTATTGGTGACTAAAATTTAAGTAATTTAATAATATGAGGTTTGCTATACTTTTAAATGTAGGGTCCCTATAATGTAAATAAATGATTTACGTATACAGTGACTACATGTACAAAGAGACTGGACATGCTTTGTTTTCGAGGCGATTATGATTTAGGGGATACCAGATACCCCAAGATGAAAGCGGCAGTCGATAAGTTGCTGGCTTATCAATCGATCATCCTGCAGTCGGTAAATTATTGAGTAGTTTCTGCCGTTATTGCATAGATGGCGAAGGAGTCGAATTTTTTATCGACTTACCGACTGAGTATGGAAATATAAATATATTTTGATTGTGTTGTTCTGGAAAATATTGGAAATTTCGCAAAGAATAATTTCGCAGGTAAGTTGCGATTACAATAAACTTACATTATAAAAGGATAAAGGGTTGACAAATACAAGTCATTAACTTAAAACACTTCTCTTTTAAATCAGCTGTAAAATATATGTATAACCTGAGAAAATGGCAGAAGTTCAAAGAGAAATCGCCGGAGAAAAATCAAAACCAATATTTCGTAACTTAACAGCAGATGATCCAGAGCCGGAAATGACAGAAATAGAAAGTCTATGTGTAAATTGTGGAAAAAATGTATATCATAAATTTATAAATTACAAAATTAAGGTTTATGATCTATACTCACTGCTAATACTACTAATGTTCTGTTTTATAAATTCAGGGCATTACCAGACTTCTTTTAACAAAAATACCATATTACAAAGACATTGTGATAATGTCCTTTGATTGTGAACACTGTGGCTTTCAAAATAATGAAATACAGAAGAGTGGAAAGATTGCAGAAAAAGGAATCAGAATAACATTGGAAGTTAAATCACCTAGAGATTTAAATCGCCAAGTAATTAAATCTGATTATACCAGTGTACAAATTCCATGTTTGGATTTTGAAGTCCCCTCTGGATCACAAAAAGGAGAAGTAACAACAGTTGAGGGAATAATAGAAAGAACCATCAGTGGATTGGAACAAGATCAACCAGAAAGAAAAAAGCAACATCCAGATGCTGCAGCTCAGATTGATCAGTTTATTGAAAAGCTACAGAAACTTAAATCTTTAGATGAACCTTTTGCTATGATATTTGAAGACATATCAGGGGAATCTCATGTGCAGAATCCAAATGCTCCATTGAAGGATGAAAATTGTATGGTAACACATTTTAAAAGAACAACAAAGCAAGATCACATTTTAGGCATTTATGAAGAAACTTCAGAAGATACTTTATTAAAACCTATCAAAGAAGGGGAATATACACTGGAGCAAATTGAAGGTGAAGTATTGTCTTTCAGGACAAATTGCCCAGAGTGTAATTGTCCTTGTGAAACCAACATGAAGATGACCAGTATCCTTTTGTATATTTATAAACATTATAATATTTTTTTGTTATTAATAGTTATTACATTTTCACCAATAAACGAATATTTATCCTTAATTCACTATATAGATATTCCCCATTTTAAGGAAGTGGTAATTATGGCAACAGTTTGTGAAGCTTGTGGACATAGAACCAATGAAGTTAAAAGTGGCGGAGGCATCGAAGCTACCGGGGTAAAAATAAAAGTAACAGTGGCAGGGAAAGACGACTTTAGTCGCGATTTATTAAAATCTGAAACCTGCCACATGGAAATACCTGAATTGGAACTGGAGATTGGTCCTGCTACTTTAGGCGGCCGATTTACCACTGTTGAGGGTATTTTAGTAGCAATCAAAGAACAATTATCAACATCAACAGCTTTTACTGGCGACAGTAACGATCCCGAAACTGTGAAAAGAATGGAAACGTTTATATCTCAATTAAACGAGATATTACAAGGAAAACGGAAAGTAACTTTAGTATTAGACGACCCAGCAGGTAATAGTTACATACAAAGCCTCTCGGATGAAGGATTGGATAGTGGTTTAAAAATCACTAAATACGAGAGGAATTTTGAACAAAATGAAGAACTAGGATTGAATGATATGAAAGTAGATAACTACTAAGCAGTCATCAGAATGATCCCTAATATAAGTCAATGTCAATAGTGTCAATATGATGTATCTGGTTTTAACGCAACAAAAAATTGTATTATAAATGTACACTACACTATGTAAATACATATTTTTTAATGAATTTTACAGTTTTTTACTGAGTTTACACGATAGGTATAGCATCGAGCTTTTTCAGTTTTGGAAGTCTTTTAGTGGCTTGACTGCGCCACGACTCCACATCCATATTTTCGCAAATAGGATTGTTAATAAATAATAGGTCTTCAAGATTCGGTATTTCTTGCAAACGATTAAATTCTGCCCAATCTTTTACCAAATTATTAGACATGTAAAGTACTTTAAGCGCTTTTAAAACATTAACACCTTTAATTTTTTCAATCAGGTTGTAGGATATCCATAGTTCCTCCAAATGCTCTCCCACTGCTTCTAATCCAGAAAACGTTTTAATATAATTGCGACCCAAGGATAAAATTTTTAAATTTTTTAGAGAATTGATACCACTGATTTTTTCTATCATATTCGTCGAAAGTGATAGTTTTCTGAAAATAGAAGAATTTATTCTTTATTTATGAGATATCAATTGCTTTCTATTTAAACAAAAATTATTCGAAAATTAACCAACTTTACGGCAACGAGTGCAGCCAGACTATTATCCATCTTCTCAATAGGAGGCCACTGAAAAGATAAAATTATTTCTGTCTGTTCACTAGCATTTAAACCTGTTTTTTCCTCCCATCGTTGTATAGCTTCTTTACAAGTGGTTGCTTTGGCCTATGCAATGTACATATTGTAAAATACTAAGGAGAGTAAAGATCATTATATTTTTGAATAATAATGCATACATACCATAATTAAGAAAACGATTTCAATAACGTTTATAAACAAAACATAATCGTGACAATTTCTAGTTAACTTCATTAATTGTAATAAACAACAAAATAACTAAGATTTGATACAGTATGAAAATAGATATATTTAGATATAAAGTACTTATTTCTGGAGGATATACTAAATACAATTAATGGACTATATCTATATTCTTTTTCTTCTTCTTCATTTTTATAGGCATAGGCCCTGGCATTTTGAATACTGTGCTGTAAAAGAGATAACAAATATAAGCTATTATGTATTACATGACTGTGATAAACTAAAACAACTGAAATACTTACTGACAGGTAGTGCATATTGGACTAAATTTACAAAATACTGCAAAAAAAAAATTATTAATTATTACTTTGCTCAATATTATATTATCTCATTCCATATAATGATTGATCATACTTGATAAACATACAGAGCATACATAGCCAATATCAATAAGTTCTTGATGGCAAAAGCATGCTGCTCTGTAATCCACTTTTACAGGTGGTGGTAACACTAACTTTGATCTAATATTTGGATCTGGTAGAAATATCCACTAAACAAAACAAATATGTTAATGTAAATTAAATTAGGCTATATATGTATATATACATGATAAGTAAAGATATCATTTTTGTTATACCAATAAATATTGTAATAATCCACTTAATTGTGGAACCTTCAAATAATTTCCACCAGTTATATCACAACCCTGTTGAAGCAAGGTTAATTCTTGATCTAAGCTACATACATCCAATATTACTCCCTATATATTTTTAAATGAAATTATTAATAAAAATTTCAAGTATATAAAACACAAATACAGCAACAACAAACCATTTTTTGAGCTGTAAAAAATATATTCATGTAGTTCATATATTGTGTGGCAGAATCATTACTAGCTGTGATAGTAAGAATTCTTGAATGTAATTTTTGACCAGCAATCTTCTCTCTTTCCAACCTTGCAATATAACATAAGGCCATGGTCAAAGCTCCAGATATTAAACTTTCTCCATTTAATGGTTTGTCCATGGAAATTTCATTAATAACTTGTTGCAATTGCTGTCTTACAGTACGCTCAACCATAGTGAACTTCTCATATTGTCCATCAATTTGTCTAATTTCTACTGATTTCTCACAAGGATATAAAAATTTTGCTCCATGACCATGACAGGCTATCATAGCCAACTGATTATTAGATGACTGCATTAAATGAGCATTAGCAAAAACAATAGTAGAGTCTAAACATTGCGTTAATATCCTTGTTTCTTGTTTAACAATTCTTTGCACTGGATTTACATCCAACACAATTATCACTAAACTAGTTTCTATTTCTGAAATAAATAATACAACAATTTTAAACTGTTTTATTCTAAACAATGCATATAACAAAGGGAATTCTTCAGAGGTTAAATAATCGTAATTTACCGTTTGACATCTTCAGTGAAGATAAATTAATACAAGTATTATTTCTTATAAGCACGAACGTAATTTCCTGGTAACATCTTTTATCGCTTTATTATAATTTGTACATTTTCTATGTGAATTTAAGAAAAATAAGCGATCAAAGTCTCTCCTACGCAATCTTTCAAGCTCTAGAAAAGCCGAACTACTACACGCGTGTTTTTTCAAAAGTGTGACATTCGTAACTTAATCGTTAAACTTTTGGAAACTGTAGAAAACTGGCAAAAATGAAAACGATAAATTAAATTATTGATATACCGAGGTCTTAACTTCAAATGCAACTGTAAATTAATCGATGCTTTTAAAAATTCCCGCCTGATGATTCTCAGATCAGTAGGGATGTGCGCAAATTACGTTGCGAAAGCGCGCATGATTCCATCCACATATCGCTGCATGTTGGCAGAAGATACAAGAGAGCGCTATAGAACAAGTGTGAAATATCATTCAGGTCACTGTAGTGTCTTTGAAAGGTTATTGAAAATCATTTTTTCGAATTCGAATTAATTAGATCTGTACTTATAAATTTGCAATAAACATGTTGCCACGATTTTTAAAACCTACGTTGACCGTCGCTCAACAAGGAGCGAAACGATTATCCACAAGTGCCAGAGTAAGTTTTTCCTGTATAATTGCTTGAAGATTTAGTAAATCTTGTCATTGTCTACTTGCACATCATATTTTACGTTTCTAAACTGAATTTTATTCCTCGATGAACTTGCGATTGTTATAGAGCTTACTGATTATTTTGAAATACAATTTACATTATATCGCACGATACAGAATAAAGTATAGTTATGCAACTGTGAACATCTTTCGAAATCCATGTACCGATCGCAATTCAATCGAACTTTGTGACTGTTACAATTACAGTAACTTGAAGTACTACTCATAGAATTCTCCGGATAGTGCTGTACCAAAATTGAAATTAACAAAAAGGTATCATGTTGTTTGTACTGGATTCAAGTTTTATATTATCTTTCAGGTCGATGCCAAGGTCGCTGTCATGGGAGCCAGCGGTGGAATCGGTCAGCCGCTATCATTGCTGTTAAAACAATCTCCCCTTATAACTGAATTATCGTTGTATGATATTGTGAACACACCAGGTGTCGCTGCTGATCTCTCGCACATTGATACGCCGGCAAAAGTAAAAGCTTTCACGGGTCCGGATCAATTGAAAGATTCCGTTAAGGGAGCACAGGTATATTTTTTATATTTCTACAATTAATAGAAAATAAAAAGTATATCTTCATTGACCGTTCAATATGTTCTTAGGTGGTTATTATACCTGCTGGTGTCCCACGTAAACCTGGTATGACAAGAGATGATCTCTTCAACACAAATGCCTCAATTGTAAGGGACCTTGCTCAGGCTGTAGCAGAAATGTCTCCAAAAGCTTTAATCGCTATTATTTCAAACCCTGTCAATAGTACTGTACCTATTGCCTGTGAAGTATTAAAGAAAGCTGGTGTCTATGATCCTAAGAGAGTGTTTGGTGTAACTACGCTTGATATTGTTAGAGCAAATACATTTATTGCTGAAGCAAAAGTTAGTATAAAATAAAAACTGAAGGCTCCATAGCATTTATCTTGGAGATAAATACCTGACATGAGATTTTTTCTAGGGCCTTAATCCACAGAAGACATCAGTACCAGTCATTGGAGGTCACAGTGGTGTCACTATTATTCCATTGATCTCACAATGCAAACCATCGGTGTCTTTCCCAGATGATCAGTTGAAAGCACTTACTACTAGAATTCAGGAAGCTGGTACAGAGGTTGTTAAAGCCAAAGCAGGCACAGGATCTGCGACGCTCTCGATGGCGTACGCAGGTGCTCGCTTTGGTTTGTCATTAGTTAGAGCACTCAATGGAGAACAGGGTATTATAGAGTGTTCCTTTGTTAAATCAGACGTCACGGAGACCAGTTACTTCTCGACACCTATTCTCTTAGGCGTAAGTGCAATCTTCAAACAACGAAACTTGCGTTTAAATACAAGATATGATTAAATTTTTGTTCTGTTACAGAAAGGGGGAGTAGAAAAGAATCTTGGTATGGGCACTCTCAGTAATTTCGAGAAAAAGCTTTTGGAAGCAGCTATTCCAGAACTGAAGAAGAACATCCAAAAGGGCGAAGCTTTCGTAAACAAGAAATGAACATGAAGCATCAAAAATCTAAACAGAGCGTGCTCAAATAATATCCGGAGAAGCTCGATAATCAGTACTGAACATAAAAATATTCGCGTTGTACGCGAAGAGAAATGTATTAACGAAAAGGTGGATCCTTACACATGCCGATTAGATACTTCTGTACATTGTATGTACATTTTAGATGATTTCAGATGAATTTAAAAACCATTTGTAAGTAGCCGACAGAAAGTATAAAATTGTACAAAATCAAGGAGACTTTACTACTTTTAAAAGAAATACTCGTAAGTTCCGCTTCAATAGAAGTGGTCTATCTAAGCCTACAAATTTAACGTAGTTAATTCAAAAATAAATACTGTTTTAACAGAAACTTCATTATTTTCATTATATTTCCTAGAAATTCTTCCTATTATCTCTTATTTCATAAAATTATTATTTAACAATATTAACCAATAAGTGCTGATTATTCTACAGATGTTATTATTGGTTCTCCAGTGCACCATCCCCTCCATCAGGATCAAAACAAATAATCGTTTGAAGATGATATCAACATTCAGTACAATGTCATCGACGTGTCAATAAGTACAACGGTTCTATTCTATTCGTTCAACGTTTTATTAATTAAAAAATTGTAATTTTTCATTATACGTGTCGATTTATCCATCCAATAACTGTGCAGGTAAAATGATTATACACTCAACGTGTTGATCCATGCCGATCTTTCAACATCATTGATCCATGGCTTCACCGTCTCCGAAAGGAATCGCAATGGCTAAACGCAAGGCATCCAAACGATCTAGATGCAAACAATCTTTGCATCATTCGCAAGAGATGCTGTTGCAGAATTCAGATTCAACAGATTCAATCGTCAGCATAGGAAATGACACTCCCTTGAAGAAAAGAAGAGGATCGAATGAACAGTTATTACAGCAACGTTCTCCAGAATCTGTATTATTCGAATCACCACAGTTAGAATTGTCCTGCTACGATGATCTCAGTCCAGAAATTGTAACCAAACTTCGACAGATGAAGCTCGATCCGAATGAGTCGGATAAGAATGATGATAAACAAGATGAAATACAAGAGAAGGAATTAATGCATTCGAACCATTCGTCGAAACGGAAAATCAATGAATCTTCTGAAAAATGTTTCTCAATAGATAAGACTCTATCGATCAACGATGAGATCAAGGTGGAGATGAACGAGTGCGATACAGTGCAAGAAAATAAATTGTCGAAAGAGATTTATACTTATGACACTGATGTTCGTTCCTCAAAATCAGCCTACGAATTACCCTGTGGTTACGTCTCGGAACCAGCACCGTTTGGTACTTTTAATTCAGAATTGGAGACTCAGAGTCAAGAGTATCATTGTTTTTTGGATGATTTTAGATCCACAACCTCTTCCTGCGAGGCTACGGGTCAATTTGAAGATGAAAACAAGAGTGGAAAATGTTATGAGACGTGGAATGAACAGAACAGTCAGAGCACTGATAAATTTACGATAGTTAATGAGAAGGTTCGAGAGGATTCAGGTGGAAGTCTGATCACTAACTGGAGCGAATGCAAAAGAATCCTCTCAAACCTGCGACGATTGAACAGTGTTAAAGTACGAACTGGTGCTCAAGAATGCATAGCGAATTTCTTGCCAAAGTCTAAGAGATGCGACGAAACACGATCGATGCAAACATCCTCTTTATCTTATCACACTCCGTCATCAGTGACGTCGAGTGAAAATTCTAATGAATTCATTAATAAACGTCATTTAGAGGGGAATGACAACGCCAATGACAAAGTCGACGATCGACGGAAATACGAGGAGATAAAGAGTACTGTGTCAAAAATTAGAGCACGTTCGACCACACCCTGCAGTGGTTCACCACCTCCAGCTAAAAGGTGTCGAACCACATTGAAATTTGATGACGAAGAGGGAACGGAACAGTCCCAGAAAGATGCTGCAACCGTCAAGGTAACTGATCTATTACCAGTGGAGAAAAACACAGAAGAGGAACAGAGTTCCTTGTGTCCTATCCCGAAGACATCTTGGGGCGGTAGCACTCCAGATTCACCGACTGCCTCTACGCTTGCTTTGCCTGCTGTCTCGGATTCTGTGTGTAGTACACGTCTTCAAGAAGTAATTTCTTTTCAGACTTAGATTCGTGAACGATTATAAATTTACTGATCCTATACTATTACTATATTATCATTTGCAGTGCGAAAGAGGAACTGAATGTCCCAAAAAGTGTACATGCCTCAGCTCCAAACGAAACCGTAAATTACCACGACTTCAATTTACCAAGAAACCCATTGCAAAAATTGTATTATTCTGGGTTTGGTTGATAAAGAAAATAACAAGCGCATTAAAAAGAGTAAGTACATACCTTGATCAGAAATAATCCACTCTGGTTAGTCACTTAACAATTGTTTCAGGGTTGCAGCAGCTTGGGACAGATTGTGTCATTTTCTTCAACAAGGCGTCAAATGGAAGAACTCAGTCAGGTGGTAATAATGTTACGCTCGGAGAACGAGCAAATGATTAACATGTTCCTGGAGAAAGTCACTCACTTGTCCGAGCAAATTGCTCAGGTACACGAATTTATTAGCTTGTTATTTAGATAAAACTGCAGTAACGACTTGTTTCCTTCAAAGTATTCTCTTATAAAAATGGGTTGAAAATCTTTGAGAAGAGGAAGCAAGTTTACGTGTCTCTGTTTCATATCTAAATCATATCTAAATCTTTTTTTACACAGATACGTGCAAGCAGCGTAACAGCTATCGGTGCCTTGACTAACGAGGTCAATGGCATACAGGATATTAGCAAGAAGCTCGACGGAAGTAACGAGACATTGATGCTGGAATTGAAAAAGTTGCAGGACACCTTAGAGAATGTCCGAGCAAAAGCTCCACAAGTTCCACCCCCGCCACCACCGCCAATGCCACCAATCTTGACACCATCATCATCATCATCGATGATTGCACCTCTGCTTCCACCACCTCCACCACCTCCGCCACCGCCACCACCACCACCACCACCACCACCACCACCACCACCTCCTCCTTCATTTTTTCAATCCCCAGCACAATCAAGTACACCAATCACCCCGAGTAGTGGTAGAAATGTTAGGACGCCTTCTAGAAAGTGTTCGACACCGTTGTTTAACAGACCAGCTATAACAGTCGAGGATTTACTGAAGGTGACCCTTAAAAAAGCTCCTCAAAACATTAAGGTAAAGATGAGAATTGTTTAAGTACTGACCCTTTTTTCTTAAACAGCCTGTATAGAAAAGATCGAGGGTAGAAAATTGCAATATTATGAAAAGTAAAAGAAACTTGAAGGTATAAAATCGTAGACTACTTTTGCTCGAGCGTTTAATGTAATAACTTGAACGCCTGAATACTCATTAGAGCGACACAATTTTCAATCTCGTTAAATTGTTTCTCAGCCTTCGTTGCCATTCAACCGGACACTCGGAGGGTTATTTAAAAACCTCAAGGTGATCGTGTCTGGAAAATAAAGCGCGTTGAAGGGAGTTCGTTATGCTGATCTTGCGAACCCCTGAAAATCTTTTAGGTCAACATAATATCGGGGTAAAATTAATGAATTACCTCGCTTAATCGACGATGAGCCTTTGATATAATTTGCATAAGAAATAGAGATAGCTTTTAACCCGTTTTAAGAGCATAATAAAATTCCTGCAAGGTAATATCTGAATTTTGAAAATTTCAGGAAAATAGACGGAACACCATACCAGGACCAAGAGGACCCGTGGTTTCTTTGGACATGTTACGTAGCGTTAAATTAAAATCTGCCAGGCGCAGATCAAACGAGCGAATCATAAGATCTCCAAGAAGTGCTCGTATGATAAAAACTCGAACATCGAGTCTCAGCTTGTCGCCGATCGCGACAGGTGCAGATAATTTAGGACGAATCCTGAAACAGGTGGATCTTCACAGACGCGGCCCTAGGCGTCTATTATCTACCACATCGAGTTTTAATAATATCACGAAAGATAATCACTCGCTAAGCGCGACCGCGGAAGATAACGGTTCGTAAATTATAATTGCGCAAACATATTTCACCGATGATGGATGATTTTAAAATAAATAATTTTAATTGATTGACCGGAGCGTATAATTTCAACGAAATAAATTATCATTTTTTGCAAACTGATTAATCGTTGTAAAGTGTAAGAAACCAAGTCACATGATGTTTCAATGCAATTGAGTTTTATCGCTTAATTGCGCGATGATATTTTTCTTTCCAAATTAAAATTGTAACACGCAGATTGAATCTTAGGTGACTCGATTCGTTACACGACATTTTAATTACAAAGAAAGAAACGCTCGACCCATTTCATTTCAATTTCTGATAATAATCATCGATATTTCTTTTATGACACGATCTGGAAAAAAAAAAAACAAATAGAGTTGTAATTACTTTATTTATAGATTTCACGTGTATGTCCTGTGTCATTGTGTATGAGTGTACGTCTGAGAGAGTGTGTATCGGTGTTTATGTATGTAATTATGTGTAGTTTTACAGAAAAAGGTCGTATCCGGTGTATTCGCATTGATTGTAATTAGTACAGAGCGTAAGAACGCATACGAATTTTGTCAAAATGAAAAGACAGATTTAGTCTCATCCAAATGACGATAAATTTTCGATAACCGTTGTCTAATTAATCGCTCTCGTGAATTGGGGTCAGCGACAAGATGGAATGATCCGAAGATAATTATAGAGATACAACTAATATTTATAGTACAGAGACAAGAGCAGAAGTATTAGTACATCTAGAGAGATGGAAACAATAGATGTTAATTTCTTTTCGTTTCTTCGCTTTTTCTTTTTCATTCTATAAAAAAATGGACTAAGCACGCACAACAATACCGAATAAAAGGATAAAAAGCGGTCTCAATCGATACACCGATCATCTATCTTCCGTTTAATAATTCTACGAGAAACTCATCAATGATCATCAATGACTATCTACGATTTTATTTATTCGGGAACACACTACTCTTCTGTTATTTTGTTTTCTTGCCATTTAATGAGTCACACGCTATATCATCGACGAATAATAAATTGTTATCGCGTTGGGCTACTTCAATCTTGTTATCTTTTTAGCTCTTTTTTTCTGTTAATTCATCGTGTAAGCAAGTAATTGGATTTGAGGTATCTCACAGTTTTATCGTCGTTTGGAATTCACTACACCGTTCGTTGCCACTGACAAGTTTTATTGTACCTAAATTTTTTTCTCTTTCTTTTTTTTATGACTTGTCACTCTCTTACGCATGATATACGTGTTGATAGACTATTGCAAAACTCTTCTTAACCGATGGTTACGATATCCTCTGTGACTCCTCCTCCACTGTTCTTTCTTCATCCTTTTTTGTTCACGGGTACCATTTACACCTTCGTGTCTTCCACATGATCTTCCTCCGCTAACATGTTCGACGATACGCTCTTAATAAACTGCTCTTCTTCTTATTCTTCGTAATCGCATGAACAATTCGTGTCGATGAATTTCTTTTTTTTTTTTTTTTTCTTCCCTCGATACGTGGTTTACGCTCTTAAAATTACTCGCATATACTTACTTACGGTGCCGTTGATATTACTTTGAGTTATTTTTCTTTATAACGTTATTTACGTAACATGATTATCAATTTGTATCGTTATTAATACCTAAATACAAGGGGAGGGGCACACGATGTACACCAAAATTTCTAGGCAGAGCTCGATTTCGCTTAGCGCGTTCTTCTTGCGCATTCAGGTATAACACCTCGCTTTTTTGCTGCACGCTTACAGAACGATTATCCTCATTCATCGTTACGAGCATGGATCGTGAGGAAACTCATGGTTTCAGACGGTATATTCGTTACACGTACGCAGTGGCGGTCAGAAACTTATGGTACGATTGAAATTTTTCTCGATCACGCTTCTCTTGGAATACTTGAGCGCATAATTTTACAAATAGCTCCTTTTATTTTGGATCTTAAATTCTTAGTAGAAAACGAAGAATTGTCGAGAACATAAATTTCCGACCGACACTAGCCGCTAAGCTCGTCTCGTTAAACTCGTGCAAATGAATTTATTGATAGAGAGTTTACTGGAATGTGTTTCGTTTTTTAAGCGGAAATCGGCGGTACGGTTGATCGATAAAAAGGTGAATGGACGCACGGCTAAAGATATCAGCTAAGATACAGTGGAATCGAGGACAGTGATAGCGAAAGTGAGCGCGAGTGAAAAACAGAAAACAAAAATAAAATAAAATAAAGAACGTCGGGATACAATCGTTTATTCTGTAATTCGTAATACCACAGCGATCGTTATAGTTTATACACAATGGGGGGATATGAAAAAGTACAACCATTAAATACGGACTAGCTGGATAGCTACTTGTTTCCTGTTTCTCCGTTGAAACGTAACTTGTTTGTTTTAAAAGAAAAACTGGGAAAAAGCTCATCTACATCAAAGATATCTTTCTCTCCATTGAGAAGATTACAGGTTGAGTGAAAGAACATCTGTTACACCGAAAACCGATACTTCTTTTCTCACTCTGTTAAATTTCCTTTTAATTATTATTATTATTATTATTCAGAAGACCAAACTTGGACAAACCGATGTTATTGCATGTTCTCTTAAGTACGACGCTTTCGTGGTAGCGTATTCTCTTAACTCTATTCGGTTAAAATTCGCTGAGCCAATTGAAAACGTAGTCTAAGATTTTTTAAGATTAAAAAAAAAATCACTCGCATTATAAATATACACAAGAAGAATCAATTTATGATACTGTAGTCCGACGAATACAGCCCGCCAAACGTTTCTGGCGAATAATTAACTTGCTTCATCGACCGATAAAAATTTATGCTCGAAATTATGGTGTATGAAATTACTTGTGTGTAACTAGACTTGTTGGGAAGTACATTCATAATATCTTATTACAAAAAGAAAAGAAAGAAAAAGAGCAGAGATGAAAAGCGCGTGGCTTGTCCCCGACTCTTTTACGTTCACCGTGACCAACCCACGTTCTTCCACTCTGAGGAGACGCGTTTATCCCTTAGATAAACAGATGATTTACACTCGATTTACACGCATACATTAATAATCGTTATTTTATCGTAGTATGCGAGAGCAATCATGCGCGCAGTAAAAAAGCGGTAAAGAGACGAGGAGGAGAGATTGTGGGTGAGGGGGCGGGTAAAAACAAACGAACACAATGCACTTCGATCGACGTCGAGCTATTTAGCATGTTTCGTTATTGTGAAACGTTATGGGGGACATATTATGGTTATTCGTTCTCACTCACTAAAATCGACAGAAATGAGGCTTTATCCCGACGGACTGGCGCATACCTCTCTTTTTTTTTCCTTTTTTTTTTTTTGTTTTCTTTCGTTATAATTATTAATTATTATTAATATAGAATGATATACGCTGTCAGTCGGCGTCCACTCAACGTTCTCGACATCGTCCACTGAATTTTGACCGGGCATGCACAGTGTTAAAAGACAGCATTTTTGTTCTCTTCTCGATAATACGCGAAGGAAGGCAAAGAATAGTGCCTCTCTAAATGCTCTTTGCAGTCTCTTTCTATTATTATATACCGCAGGGTGCGTGCCCTTTTGCTCGTTACTTTTCTCTGCGCGCTCCATATAACTCAATGCGTGTTATCGAACGATAATTTTTGTAATTTTGTTTGCTTGTTTGTTAGGAGTAACCGTACGTACGTGCGTGCTTAGGGTCACGCAATCACTAAAGATCTCCCCTTCCCACCCCGAACTGCCACCTGCTTGAATTGTTTTCTTTTGCTTACAAGTTATTAAGAGTTTTTGCTTTCTTGTGTCTCAGTTTTATATGCGCAGGATAACACTCACTACAGTTAGAGTTACGATACGTCCTGATCTTCCACGTCTTGCAGCTGTTCCTTCTGTTCGCCCTCCCCTGTGTCAAAAAAAGAAAAAATCATCTCGTTAATGAATATATTTTAACTGATTATTGGTACTTTAAAGAAGGAAGGACGAAGAAGGATCGATGGAGTTGCTCACCAGGTGATTTTATGGGTATAAGGGCGTATTGGAAGGGGTGTGCTTGGGTTCAAGCGTTGGTAGGAACGGCCGCAGCCTCGTTCTCGTGATCAGCCTCAAATTCTAAATTATAAAAGCACCGATTTTTACGATGATTCGTTAAAGAAGTAACATGATACGTTATGTATGAATAAAATCTGATACAACGGAAAGATTTTATCGCACTGCTGCAATACATATTATTGATCGCGCGACGCCGCTTCCACGGCCTAGTGGCGAACACGTTTTAAAGACAGCCTCAAAACACATTTTCGCAAAGCCTTCGGTGTCCCCGGTAAATGGTATGTACTAACCATCTCCTTGCATATCTGACGTCCAGAGAGTAAGATTGTCCCTAAGAAGCTGCATGATGAGGGTGGAATCTTTATAGCTCTCCTCGGATAAGGTGTCTAGTTCTGCGATCGCGTCGTCAAAGGCAGCTTTCGCTAGACGACACGCTCTGTCGGGGCTATTGAGAATCTCATAATAGAACACAGAGAAATTGAGCGCCAATCCCAAGCGGATAGGATGAGTCGGTGGCAAGTCTGTCATAGCGGTGTCGCTCGCTGCTTTGTAAGCTACAAGGGAGTTCTCCGCTGCTTCCTTCCTGTCGTTTCCGATTGCAAATTCGGCCAAGTAGCGATGATAATCACCTTTCCTACAATACATCAATACATCCATCAGTATCAAGATTTTAAAAAACCGTTTTCTTTCTTCCTTACTCTTTTCTTTTTTGGAAATAGAACCGCGTATTCATATTTATGATAATGTTAAATCCAATAAGCTTCTGAAGCAGTACGAACGCAGGAAGTTTATTTGTAATTCAATCAAAAATCACTCGCGTGAATCGTACAACGCGGCCACGTAAGAGTTTACGGAATCAAAACGTGAATTCTTTTTAAGTTCACGAAGCTTGCGCTATTTTGCAAATGATCGCTTTGAACACCGAGTAAATTACATCCGTTATTATCGGGCCAAATGGTTGGCTGAAGTTTTAGAAAACAATACCTCGAAAACCAGTGGCCGAGACGGAACGGTGCTTCGGCACTACAATTTTATCGAAGCTATAGATAATATTCTATCTTATTTAAACAACTCGATGTCTTACATTTTATAATAGAAAACTTTAGATTCGCCGGTAGACGCGCAAGGTATCAGATGCTTATCCAAAACTCCAAGGATGTCGGCGCAGATGTCTTTCAATTCTTTCTCAACCTGGGATCGGTACTGACGAATCATCTCCAGCTTCCCTTCGGCACCCTTGTTCTCCTCCTTTTGCTCGATGCTAGATATTATTCTCCAGGATGCTCTCCTCGCGCCGATCACGTTTTTGTAGGCGACGGACAACAAATTCCTCTCCTCGACGGTCAGTTCCACGTCCAGTGAAGCTACCTTCTTCATCGCCTCGACCATTTCTGTAAATAACGTCGGCGAGCATCGCCGTCGACGAAATTGCCATTCAGTTAATAAACGTTCAAAATGAAAAGGAAAGAAAAAAACGAGAGAAAAATAAAAAGAAAAGAACATTATAATATTCTTAAAGAGATATGAAACTTACCATAGAATATTACATGCAATCATGGTAAAGTAACGAATCGGAAATGATCTATTGATTATTAGTACCGTAGGCTACCCCGTGTGCGGATATATTATTAGTTTCATCTGGGATGTTAAGAGTGCCTCTGTGTAAGAAAGACGAAGCGCACGGGCATATATTAACCTGCTGCCCCTTGAACTTTCCGAGGAAGTTGCTTACTATCATGTATTTATTATCTATAGGTGTGTGTTACATTCAAGGATAATGATGTATCGATCTATATACACACGCAAGTGTCATCATTTGTCTCTCGTTACCTGTACAAATTTCGAAAAAATATCATCGATTTCATCCAATTACAATCGTATGTAAACCCCTCTTCCGAGGGTTAAAAATCTTGATGAAAGTAAGTAGTCGCTCCATTTTATTTGTACGACGGGTATGAAAATCTATGGACCCAGGGCAGAGAGGATCGATATAACCGAGCGACAAAGTTATTAGAGAGGCGCACAATAAACGAGAGACAGATTAAAGACGGTAACAGGTATCGTCCCTCCAATACCGGAACTTCCTCTATTTAGCTTGAAAAGAAGACATTTTATTTTGTAACGAATCAACTCGAAATCTAAAAGATGATAAAATAATCATTAGATATACCAGTTACCGATTAAATAAAATAAAGTATACCTACATTTTATTAGTGGAACGGTATAAGCTTTGAAAAATCTGATAACCAATTGATTGAGTGGTCTAGAGGGGGGGTTAATGTTTATCATTCAGATAAAATCAAAAGAGATTTCATATGGTGACATTTATGAGAAGATCAGGACTCAAGTTCATGGTGGTTCCCGGGTAGAAATTATCACGAACGTGGTATACGGTGTGACACGGAGTTATACAGAGAAACGTAGGATAGCGAGTACAGATCAATACTTTCCTTCTGCTATAGCCCCTCTTCTCCCTACTCCACCTTTCATCGCACCCCTTGCCGTTCTCACCCTCTACTCGTAATCTCACTCGCTCCTTCTTCCTTCCTCTTTCACAACCCTCAAATTTGCCCACCGCCCTTCCTCTTTCTTCTCATCCTGGGACGGTGATATCAGCTTTTCTCCCTTCTACCTCGTCGTCATTCTTCACGCTTACCACCCGTTTCGCAAGGATATCCAATATACGCGCTTATTTACATACTTTAATACGCCTTGTGTCTGCTCAAAAAAATGATATGAAAAACAGTTCTATCAAAAAAGGACAGCCTTTAATTCTGATTCAGAGCTTCATTCAGTTTAATATCCCCTCGATCTTTGCCCCCCCCCCACCCCCCCCCCCCCCCCCCCCCCTACCGGAAGCAAAGAACGTGGTATTTAACTGATTCTCGCGCATAATGCGATGCGAAGAGACTTTAGATATTTCAAGATGAGATAACTTTTAATCTTACGGCCAACGCGCACGTACCGCTTGTTGAAACGGTTTTCTCTACGATCGAGGAGTTTTCGAAAAAGCATGTTGCAACTTATGAACATATATATGTATGTATCTAACTAGAGTATAAAGTTATTCCTAGAGGTTGACTGATATAGGGAGAAGAGTAGAAGCCACTGAACGGTTACAGGAAATTTACATGAAGATACATCTCGCTTCCGCAAATGTCAAACGCGTGCGCTTGATTTGCGTATCCGATAACATCCCACGAGACTAAGCACGATGCGTAAAAATATTTCTAGTCGTAGAGATACGAGTCGAGAGGTTCGGTAAAACGAAGAGATTTGACGGTTTCCCCCCTCCGGCTGCCATCGAGAACAGTCCCCACTACACGCGAATTGCTTTCGCCAGGAGCAAAGTAAAAATTTCTACAATTGAAATTACATACAACGACGCGTACTGCGTAATAAGGTACAAGTTGGAGAGAAGACTGACGTAGGAGAAGCGATTACAAATAAATGTACAAAATGATTATTAACCAAAAAAACAAAAAAAAAGATCATTAAATCAATAGATCGATTAAGTCGATCGACTAAATGATTTCTTTCTACTTTTCAAGGCCGAATACCACGAGCAGAGCACGCGTTACTACGTGTCGAAGGAGTAAACCGTCAGCGATTGGTAAGTATCGTGCCGTGTCTATGCGTCACACACGTCGGTGAAGGACCGACTTGTCTGGTTATCTGCCGAGGGGCCCCTAAAGTACTGAACAGCACGCCTAGCAACGCTGCTTCGGCGTTACCCAGCTTTCCATCAAACGATGTAGCTCGAAAATGATGAAACTCTTCCGTGACCCTACAACGAAATCCTTGAAAAAAGTATTTGTAGTACTGTCGCGTATCGCGACAGGATCCGTAAAAACGGTGACAAAATCTACGAATCAACCCACCCTTTGATAAAGATTATACCGGTTGTGAACCGGCGACTCAGCTACCCACCGTGTAGATTAGTCATATTTGACGTTTCACCAGACTTTTGACAGATCCATTGAGATTCGATCGCCGTTTAAGGTTCTCGGTTTTCAGAAGAAACTCGCTGTATATCTAGCGAAATCGTACACCAGGAACGCCACGAGGGCGGTGCTACCTCCTTTCTCTTTGTAGCAATGCTTTGTGTGGATTTCGTGGGTTTCATTTTGGCGCAGGCCGGGTCCTTTCCCGGAAAATATGTACTCACCGTCATAGCGTTCCGCTTGCTCAGCCAATTTCGCTTTATAAACGTTGTCCTCCCGTTCCGACATCTTGGATGCTCGTGGATTTCACGGGTAGATGAAGGGTTTCAGGGAAATCGCACGAAATACTCGTTTCACCGAAATACGTACACCTCGTCGTACAGCCACTCGCAAGCTCACTGACCAAGATGGCGGCGCCCGCCAACAATCGAAAGCAGTTCCCACTTCGCGCAGCCTCTGCAGACACTCCACTCGCCATGCGCTCCCGGCGTGTATTACTACGCGTGACGTCAGCCCGTACCGACGCTACGCGCATGTCGGTTAAATTCATCGAATATCCGGTAAAAATTGTAGCAACTAAAGTATTGGCATATCGTGCACCTTCTTTCCTCCCTAATTACCATAACTAAGGAATGTCCACGATATATTTCATTCATACCTTAGAGAACTGAAAATGCTATAAAATTAATTGGAACAAGGAACTAGATGCAAGAATCACCAACTTAAAGAGGAAAATTGATCAAATCGTTTATGATTCCCGCTAAACTATTTCCCTCGGATCAAAAGAAATTTTAACAGCAATTTTCATGCATCGAGAAGAAGCTAGTTTTCCATGTCGAATTAAAAATAAAAGTCATTCAGGTGCTATTAAGTTTATGCGCGTAGAATAAACGCGAACTAAAACGCCAAGTAGAGCAACATTCCAGTGTTCTACCGTAGCGCGCGAAATATCAAATCAATCATTTCCAGTAATGATACATAAATGAATCAAACACTGGGTGATAAAAAAAATATATCGTGACAAATGTTACCCGTTAAAGATCGTCTTTAATTTGTTACAATAAATCAATACAATTTGTTTGGTGGAACAAAAGACTACGGTTATTCATCGTATAAATAATTGCACCATTTGTGCGACCAACGGGTGTTACAATAGGAGATGCCAAAAGGCAATCATGTGAATGCTACAAAGATATTTTCGGTTTTGTAGCGAAGCATTTGTATTTACCGTTTCACATGAATAGCTAATGTACAAGCACTATATAATCCAAACATCTGTTCTATCCGTCTTACTGTATTTTCTTTAAATTATTTATTTTTATAGTTAATTTGTATTTATATGTATACAGATAATATCCGATTATTATCAACTATTAAAATTATAATACAGCCAAATACTTAATTATAACAATCATTGTAAACATTGGTTGCAAGCTAAGTGTTCCATTCAATGTCGTCCTATACAGACCGGAATATATAGTTGTCAATATACAAACACTATGAACAGAACAACCGTATGATGTGCTCATAAGAGGGATATACAATGGGATTTTATTAATTATATATCATATGTACATACGGGCATACATACATACGTACGTACGCACGCAAATTGCGCTCAATCAGGCGCTTGTATCTGTGTATGGATGTGTGCGTCTCTACATAATGTAGTTTGGAAACAGATTTCAATTAATTACTGTTGATCCTTCCAGTTTAAAAGTCCTTAAAAAAAAAAAAAAAAAAGAAAAAAAGAAATAAAGAATAACTTATGAGCTCTCCAATATGATTTTAAATTCTCTTTACATTATTTATGTATTAATATGATTATGTTTTGTAACATTAGCTCGACGGAGTATAGTAATCAGGCTGATTAGGTAACCAGTCTATATTTGTGGAACATTCAGAGTCTACATCTGCACGGAAAATTGCAGAAATTTGGAAGCGTACCCATTTTTTACTATCTGGATTTTCTTTCTTAAAGTTGCATGTTATAATATGTATATATTTATATATATATATATATTTATAACTTCTGTATGGATTATTTATATTTTAATCTCAACATACTGAATTCTCGTTGTTACGAACACTTTATCCGCAGGAACATTTCTTCAAAGCGGTTACAGATTGTTGTATCAGTGTAACACGAATGCCGCTTCTTAGCCAATTTTCGTGCAATGGTTAAGACGTGGCAGTCGAGTGAACAGTCTGGCCGCACCACACGTGTAAATAACCAATATGTAAAAACGTGTTATCTAACAATACCTACTTTTAAATAATTCAGTAAGGCTTTAGACACATTCAACGCGATTATTTCTTGTTTCTGATTTACACAGCAATACTATTAAAATTTTTGCTCTTTCTAGTATTTTTAATTCATTTAAATATCCTCAGCATCGCGTCAAGCATCGAAAATACGTTTTATAGTCTATGTAAGTACTTTTCGCGATGGATACGTGATAACCATGTTATGGCAATTTTCCGAAGTTGGTGTTACGATCGGTCTCGCTGGAACTTACAATCAGTTCCATTTCTAAAAGAAAAAAGAAACTTTAGTTACGTCTAACTCATTTGGAACAAATTATGAATACTGTAGTAGCGTTAAGTGGATTTTTCATGCTCGACTTAAACTTCCAGTAATTGTTATCGATATTTTTGCAATAAAAATCATCAATCTTATTGCTATATCATCTTCAAATTGAAGTAAGGAAATTCTTGTTAACTTATTCGCTTATTAATAGTACCTGGATTTTCTTGTGAATGTAGTGTACGTTCAGCCTAATAGCAGAACTTAATAACAAATACAGCAAATTTTTTAATCTATACAAAACTTGTATACAAAGCGTTCATTGGGCCATGTGAATTAAATACAGTAAATATTCCGATTATTTAGAAAAAGTGGATAAATGAGAGGGGATGTAGTGGTAATATAGACAGAAAACTAGAATCACGAAGGTAATGGTATACTACAAAAACGCACGTCTTATGTATCAGAATGCCAACTTCGACCAGTTCAATGGAAGAAATAATTACTAAACCACGTCTCTCAACAATCACACCATATCACGTCAACGTGTCTCAGAAGCAATGATCCCCACCAAAGTGAGCTTTAGAATTAACTATCCTCACTTTAAACAAATCCAAACATTTCTTACACTGTATATTGGCGGTCACAATATTAATTGATATAATTATATAATAAGTTAAAATATGTTTGGACATCGTGACCAATCACCTTTACTCTTACACTCCCAATATTCACCACCATATACGTAGCACAGACTGTCCGTGTATGGATCTTGCTCTTTTTTAAACCATAACGGTTCGTAAGCTTCGAATGGTAAACCTAATATAAATTAATTATTCTTAGTACTATTGTATTCACTGTAATTGTATCATTATTGATTTTCCACAAGATATTATCAAATATATTCCATACCTTCAGCAGCTGCTTTCTCAGCTTCGTGTTCACGAGCTCGCCGAACAATTCTTTGTTTTTCCTCTAATCGTAGTTTTTCTGCATTCGCTTCGTCCCATTGACCATTTTCCATTAATTTTTGATCAGGCCTATTTCGAGAATCTGTAGGAGCTACACCCTCTTCAGGTTCGTTAAGTTGACACGCTAATTCCGTAAAATTGTAATACTTTTCACTATCTTCGCTATAAAAATAGATCATTATAATGTTGATATTATTAACGTAATTTAAAAAAAAAAAAAGTTTATAGTTTTACTTAAATGGTAATTTAATTAAATGCTTACGGTGGCATACGCCGCTTCCAAGCGAGTATATAAGGCCCTGTTTTATACACTGGATTATCTGGTGTACCAGACGTACTAATTACAGGAGCAATTTCAATCTTTGTATCCCATGTACCTTGTATTACCCATTTTACGTCATTGTCCGAATTCATCACTACTCCTTTTACCTTACGCTGACTGTCCCGTGTGAAGTACGAATATGGTATGTACTTCAAATGGCACTTTATACCTTGCTTATGATTTATAATGTCTGTATCACCACTTTGATCAACCCATAATTTTCCTACTATAATATTGTGTACAGTGGTTGTAACTTTTCGCCACGTATAATGATGTTGACCACCATCTATTTCGAGATGAGCGGTCCCTAACGGTATTACCTACGTCATTACACAAATAGTTTAAATATTAGCCACGATTAATATGCGACATTGTCACGCGACGATTATCAGATACTTATCTTATCGAATACTTGGAAAGGAAACTTACTTGAAGGTATTTTCCACGGAATTTAGATGCCATGGTAAATTCTTGCCAACAACGCCATTTACGTCCCTCGCAATGCTGTGCTAGCATCGGAGGATGATGAGATACTTGTTCTGAAATTGCTCGCCATCCTAAATCGTCAATGCGATCACATTCATACGTTTCACCTAATAAAGGATTGAAAGGCTTGCCTGTTCTGGAAGCGGTTGTGGAATAGCTAGATATAGTAAATGCAGCCACATAAGCCATTTGTTCAAAGCTATCTGTACACTCTGCTGCTCTGTTATGGATTAAAACAAATCGAATTTATTACTTATTTGTAATATTATCCATGTAACAGTTTAATAAAGCTCTAAGGTAAACACACCTGTCAAGAATGTCCGCGTATTCATAATCTTCTGTTAGTCTTTGAAGCATACTAAGCGGCTCAGAAAAGTTGACAGGCATTGGAATTTTTGACAAATCTTTGCCAATACAATTTTTCATAATACTCCATAAATTCAATGGATAATTTGGTTTATCAGGTACCCTAGTTCTTCTTTTTCTTTTAGGACCGGTCACCCCGGTGCCGCCACTGCTGCCATTGTTGGCTTGCCAATTTGTCTATTACAAAATACAAAAAAATCTTATTCAATTTGGATTTATTAGTAATCATTAAGAATGTTTACTTACATTGTCCAGATTGTCGGTATTTGCAACAGTGGAAGGAGTTTGTACTACTGTAGAATCGGTCACAATAAAAAAGGAGTTTGCACCAGCATTGTCTGACATAGGCAAAGGTGTCTGATCTCCTTCTGAACTAGATCCATCGTCGCTACCCTGAGAATCAGTCCTATCTCTTGAATTGTTTGCAGCCACACCAGGTATACTCAATGTAAAAGTGTCCGATTCTTGTGCATCATAAAACTCGGCGTTATCTTCCTCGTCTTCTGAGGGAGAAGTTGTAACTGTTGTATCTATAACAAGTACTAAAATTTTATTTACCGTAGTTGAGCAAGTAATCGAATAAAAATTAAGAAGATATATACAAGCTAAATAAGATTTGGTTAATCAATGAAACACTTATTCGATTATAACCTTGCAACAAAGTAGAATACAAAATGGAGAAAATCTTCACGTGTTATGAGTCACTTTGCTATTTAGGATAAATGATAAATACCGGGGTGCATCAATACCGAGTGCAATAAAAATCTATCGGTGCAGTTACGCAATGAAAATATATATTTCGCGCCAAGCAAAGGTACGACTGGGTATGACACAAAGAGGCGAAATGTTAATTCGTCAAATTTACACGTATAAACGACACATTCCAAAGTTCAAATTTATTTCGTTTTAATTATCTAATGTAACGTTTCTTCAACCCCTCCCTTTATATTTATTATTTGTATCCCTCCCCTTCACAACTGATTCAATTGTGCTTTGACAGCTACTGCTGCCATTAAATTACAACGTCCTTTACCCCCCCGAATACAGTCTACATACATCAGCAGTACTGGTTGAAGTAACGAACAATGAATCACTAAAAGTGCTCGTACACTGATTTTTACAGGCAACTACAATGATGTACCACGCATCAGGTTATGCTGTGTTTCAAGATCCGTTCGGCGTTCTCATATACTTGGACCTTGCTAAAATTTCATTGAAACTGCGAACCGTCATGAATCGTTGATAATAGACTCCTCCCGGTCGTTTCGTTTAACTATCGGTTTAGCATCTCTTTCACTGATCCTCTTCAAGCACAATCGTCGAATACATTCGACGTTCGACTCGAAATTAATCACATCGAATTTTTATGATATAAAACACGTAAAAAGATCTGTCAAAACAAGGACTCGTATAAAAACAGAAATTTACAAGGCCATCTAGGATCTAATTAAGCGCCAAACTTGGGAGAAATGAAAGCACAACCGTGCGTATGTATATACCTGTATGTTATATATGTATATAAGATCAGTATGTATATCGCAGTTCACCAGAGTCCATAACTGCGAAAAGACCAGTTTTCGTTCTTCGCGCTTCTCCAGTGCGCATCTTCGCCCTGATTGGCGATACTTCCAAACGAAGTGGAAAGCGATTAGCAGAGAGCTCGCTGCGTTCCCCCACCATCTTCCAACCTGCGCGTCGCAGTTATGGACTCTGATGAACTGCGGTATATGTGTCAGTGTAATATACCATACAATATATGTAAAAATACATATATTGCACGTTTTGCATGCGTAAACTATGAGCTACATAAGTTGCGACATCATAAGAATCAAATGGAACTTCCTAACCGCCATCTAGACAGGAAACGGCAAGGTACAAAAAGGCGCGATGGTTTCAAATGCACGTGTTACCATTAAAGCATATTTAAGCAGTTGTGTGTGAGACAGACAATACAGCTGTGCGCTATCGTGTAATAAATATAGTACTCTTCAATTTCAAACGTTGCCAAACAACCAATAGCACACATAGACACACACATGATAATGTATTAATATGTATAACATACATTTATATTAGAGTTTAGCCATTGGTTACAGAGTTAAATGCTTATAGCACAATCAATTGGGTTGCGGACAGTGTGTACAAAAGTAAGAAAGCTCAACACAGCATGGACAATAAACAAATATTCGCGTTCATTTTTCTCAGCATAACAGGAACTTGTAATATTGCGGTAAAACGTTAATTGTAATACTACGGATGTATAGAGAATAATATAAATGAAATTACGCGAAGCTCTGTGTCCCCCTGATGAAACTGCCGAGGGGAGCGCGTGTTGGGCAGCCTCCTCTAGGTGAGAATGTTGCCTGGCAAGTTGTTCGACCATTTTCTCTATCCGCACTTTTTGATCACGTTCGTGCTGCAGCATCTTCTTCCACTTTGGTTCCTGTTGTTGCGCTAGTTGTAAATACTCGTTGCTCGTCTGAAATCACAATTTATCCTAATTTTCTACACGATTGCTATACACACCTTTAACACAATTTGTCCATGTATTAATAAACGTTGTAACATGTTATTTGTAATACACAAGAATATGCAGGATAACGGACACATCAAATCAGCAGTCACAGTTCATTAATTATTATCGAATCACAATCATCTGGAAAGTTAAAGAAAACTTTTGCTCTCAACACCAAATTTGTTATAGTTATTCTTCGCAGCTGAAGGGTTAATTTCACACGTTGTTGATCAGAAATTTTCATCTGTATATTACTCTTAACAACGTCCTTTCAACTTACATTAACCATAGCACCGGCAGCGATGCGAAACAGCGTGGCTCGTTCACTGACTGTCTTTATTTTTGCCGCTAATTCAGGCGACGGAGGTTCCAGCGCTTCGAGCTCGTTTAAAGCTCGCTGAAGCATCGCTCCCTTTTTGTTTATTAAATCGTTGCAGGCCTGTAAGTCTTCTAAGCGTTGCGAAAGGTCTTTTATCACGGATGCTTGTTCCGGTTTTTGATTGTCATTATCCTGGAATTCTTCCTCTTCTTCTTCTGGAACAAATTTTACTTTACTTTACTTATTGACTACACGACTCGTATATTGTATAAAATCTGACTTTTTCCTCATATTTCTGGCGGTTTGTGTTTTATACGTAGTTTAGCAATCGATACGACGAGAACCGAGGGAAAGATAACGCAACTGTGACTCAATACATCGTGCAAACACGTTTGTGGTAACGCAAGAATACGTTTAATTAAATGGTCAGAGCCTATTTGTTTTGAATGATGATTTATAGGTCACAGATAACGTCGAAGCAGACAATGACGAATGATAAACGGGTGACGAATACTGGGTGTCGATTAAAAAATAATTAAAAAATAAATTTTGATTCCACCCATTACTTCAGAACTCTGTTAGAATGATCAGTTTGATTTCACCAGGTACACTACTTCTTGAAGGATGTCGATTACGTCTTTAGCTTGCGACTTATGTAGCAAGCAATTAACGTGAACAATTGATTGGATATGACAGAAACGTTCGTTTTAACAAAAGATGATAAAGAAGAAGAACAGCACGTGCCAAGAACATGCTTAAACTGTATACAAATTACGCGTCTACTATGTCTTATTCTGAATCATGATCAACGATTTGAATATTATTATTTAATTGCATTTCGTATCACTTAAGCCATCATTCGTCGCTCGCTGCGTGAAAAAATGTACCGTACTCTCTCACTAGCGTATGTGTTAGGAGAGCTGCTATGGACAATTGCCTTTAATGCCATTATGCACAGCTTGCAAATTGTTAACAGGTCCATTGGTTCAAGATAGTAATTGATCCTTGCTCAGAAATCACACCCAATCGAGTTTAGTGGGAGATATAGAATCGGTAATACAGAATTCCAAGCCAGAACATTGGAATGACTTCATGAAAAATTACTTATTTGATTTTATATTTCTATCCCCAGTGAGTGTCTTGCCTAGCTTGGTCAGCTTAACACGTTGACTGCCATAGAAGCCACCGATGACCGGCACGAGAAACGTAATAGATACCAAAAAAAAATCGTGTAATATTGTAAATTAAAAGAGATAACGCTACTATTATGCTAATATTGTAAATTAAAAGAGTCAACGCGTCGTCTTCTTCTATATCCTTCATTACACTGGGACCAGTCAACGTGTTAACATGTCCATCATCATCCAACGAAGCTCAACATTTAATGCAGCATCTGGAAATAGAAGAACTTGAAAAATTCTGCGTTTTCATTGTTGCGACTGTTGTTTCCTATGTGATACACATCCACCTTTGTTCAAAAACTCTTTGTTTCTATATTACAATGTTATCAACGTTATTATCTAATCTGTGCACAAATTCCTTCTTTCTTTAAATGAAAAAAAGAGTCGTTCTTTCATACATACCAGATTCCATAGCCTGAATGGCCTTGGCCTTCGCCAATTCGAGAGCTGTGACCCATTGCTGACGTTCCACCTCGGTCGCCGCTTTGATATGGAAGGTTTGAGTACCACCGTTGCTAACAACGAATGTGCAAGCATCCACGGTGTGTATTAAGGCCCCGTGCAAGGATATCGTGCCTCGGCACGTATGTGACATCTCCGCCGGATTTCTAAACAGAGAAAAGAAAACGCGACAGTTTCGTGTACAGATTCTTCTGCCATTGGAAAATCGAATGACACAGAGAAAGACAGACGTGAGTTTGCAAATTAGTCGGTTTGCTGCACCGCCAAGTCAAAGGTTTATCCAAGCCCAGTACAAAAAAGGAAAGAAAAAGAAAAAGAAAAGAAAAGAAAAGAAAGGAAACACTTCCAATTCGCCCAAGAGTAGGTACCATTAATGTAAACGTAACACGTATGTTACCGTGAAAGCGATCGATTAAAAAATTTCCTTGTTACCACGTACAGTTTGTTAACGATTTCAAAGAGGAAGCAAACTTCGGTTTATCCCTCTCTGAAATATCAGGCGTGTGCGAAAGTTTCCATTTTCGTCTGATATTTCAGGTATATGATAATTATCGAAGTTCAGATTCGTCTTAATTACATTTCACATCTATAGAAATAATTTCACTAAGTTTCAGACGAATTGGCCAGCAATGCCATTCGAAAATACAGCCAAAAGCCAACAGGCCAATTGTCTCAACATTGCGAAATCATTCGCGTAGAAGGTACAGCTGATGGAAACATTTGCATACCCCTGAATAACTTGGTAACATAATCTAAGTTTAATCGTTAATTAATATCGATAGAGGTACGTACACTTTTGCTTGAATGCTATGACAAAAAAACATGTGTACATATTTACCAACTTTGATCTAGCCTCGTTTAGCTGGTACTCCGAACGTGATGCAAATGAAATGCTAATTATCTACTACTTATCGTTCGACTTGGCTCGTCGACTGTGATTTTGCAAAATCACGGATGAGATTGTTTGAAATCACCTGGACATCTCGACCTAACGAATTCCAAGCACTTTCACCGTAACATATGCATACGTATACGTTTTAGCAACTGAATGAAGTAAGATTAATCTGCGTTCATCTGCAAACATTGATGATGTGTACATTTACTAGAGGAGCGCAGAAGAACGAAAATGTGTAAATATTACAGCGGGATTTGATTAATTACTTTTTCAAAGCAGTCCCATTACCAGTGTGTGTCGAATACGTCACCGTTCTCCATACGCCAATCTACACCCTCGTATGGGTACCAATGATTAGTGATGGTCTATGAAATGCTTCGAATCACTGCGAATTTTATTCGAACCCTGAAAATCTTGAAAATGTACAGCACGCTATAGAAATAGAAATTTCAAAACTCTAACATTTCAGTAGTTTCAAGACTCCTAAGGTTCTTAGGAAATTCGAAGTAATTCCAATCTCGAGTGTGTTTCAATCGCTGGAACACTTAGAAGCGAGAATTTCGAAATATCCATCACTACCCATGATGGTAGCCTCGTGAACAATTAAAGGACAATGCTCGAGGGTCGACCTGATGATTAGATTGAGAGAAGGGGGAATAGATAGCTCGCGGATCGTGTCATGCACTTTTAGGGTCAATGGAATTCAATCTAACACGCAAGGGACCCCGAGAGGTTTTATAATCATAGGTGAAAGAACAATCATATAGTCATGCTAACGCGTTCAGAAATCATTATTGCATATTGTCCGCATAGATCAGAGACGTCCGCGAACATTTCTGTCCAAGCGTTCATTTTCATTCGCGATATCGTTCGGTATTTTCTTATTTCAAACGCGACAACAAATATTTCGTGGTGTGTTTCATCCTGGTGTACATGTATGTCTTTGAACTGTACCGATTATAAAAATCATGTTGGAGGTAGAAGGGTTCGTTCGGGGATGGACGGGGTGGACTGTGCAAGTGTAAAACAACGAAACGTAGAACTGTGCGTACAAATAAACGATTTGTCGAATTTGCTTAAACTCCAAATTGATAACGAACAAGCATGAATTTATAATCAAGAAACGAAACAAAATTGTGGTGAAAGGTACCACTTACGATTAGAAGGTCTGTGAACTTTCTGCTGACCCGAAATTCGAAAGGTCCAAGTTATAATTAATTTTTCATTTTTGTTGGAAATAAAAATGGCTCTGAATTTTCATTTGTACTGAAAAAAGTTTTAACTAATATTGTAAATAAAAATTACGCAAAACAAATATACAGTGGCAAATCCACGATAACATGGATTTTCTATCCAAAAATATCGACACATTAAAGTTATCGGTATTTCTTGATACCAATTGATCTATTTGCGATATAATTATTTCTTGGAACATTCCCAACGGGTCAGTAAAAGCTTGACACTCTGAAGACCTTCGGGATACCTCCTAATCGGAACTGGAATTAACAACAAAATAAAGCTGTGTTTTATATCGCGGAAACACCGATATACATACTAACATATATATACGTACACAGAGAATACAAAAAATTATACAACTTGAAAATCTCTCAAATAATTTAAATTTCATTTGAAACGAAGAAAAAATATAATATCAATGATAAGGGTAGTGGATGCAAGGATCGGAAGCAAGTAAAATTATTAGGAACATTGACGATACCGTATTAATATGTAGTTCTAATAAAAAATTATATGCATATATATGGCAAGGATTTTACAAATGAAATGAGAATGAAACTCCAACATCGTCTTTGTCTGTTTAATTACAAGTTCGATTCAAAGAAGAGTCAGGATATTTCGGCTTTTTCGATAATTTTACTTACTCGGAGGCTCTGCCAGCCTTCCGCTTGCGTCGTGTTGATATCTTTGGCCCCCCTGTTGGTTCAGCCCTAAACAGTCCATAAAACAAATAGACCCCGTTCATATTGTGTAATATTGTATCAAATGCGATAATTTACTTTTTTTTTTTTTTTGAAACAAGTATTTTTTTTGGTCGTTTATCCTACGAAAAAGTCGCGTTCGCCGTTTGATCGTATACATTTTCTTTCCTTCTTTTCTTATCATTTTTGGTTGCTCTTTTTTTTTCTCTTCCTCATATTCATAAATATATACATATATATATATATAGGCAATGGTGCAACCATTACACTTGTGCGTTTAACTACGTGTACACACACTTTTTTGTGCGATAAGCGAGTTCCACGTTCACGTTTCTTTTTTGTGGTTCGTGTGAAAATAAAATTTTGCAGGACATATTCTGTTGTTGCGATTTGGACAAAGCATTGCAAACTCAAATCACACACAACTGTGCCAAGCGGAAAATTAAAAGAAGATCTAAGCATTGCGTGTTATCGGCGGGGGAACACGGATGTTCTAAATATAAAGAAACGGCATAGTGGAGTCTTTAATACGTATATACGCAACGTATTCAATAGAATTATTTAAGACTTTTATATTCACGATCAGTAACTACGATTGGGAGATTGAATTTTGTTCGCCGGGATAAGAATAAAATTGGTTGAAAACTTATATGCTGGTCAAACAATAATCTCACAGCCGTAATAGCTCTCCCGCAAACTACATATAACGAAACCAAAGAAAACAATCGAATGAAAAATCACAGTTGAAGTTAAAAAAGAAGAATAGAAGGCAAATATGCAATAAATTTTCTCTGATGCGTGTGACAAATGTAAGCGAGTATATACAAAATATACGGTCTTCATGTTTTTAAATTACTTCCATCTTTTTTAACGCGAATTCATAGACGTATTCGAAAATCGCAACGCGTTCTGCGGCACTGTACATGCTCAGGATATTGCTCAAACTATAATGGATAAGTATGGAATATGTAAACATGAGCTTTGGACGAAACTATGATTAGATTTTGGTTAAGTATACTTGGATAAACCATATTGATAATATCCATGACTGAGTCTGCACTGGCTGCTTATGTACATGCAATTTCCAGCTGTTAAATGGTTTAATACAATACCATATTTTGTATGCTCTTAATAAAACCTGTTTGTAGCACTGACAGAATCACAAGCATGATTCAACACTATATTAGAGACATAATACAAAACTGTTCCCTCTAATTTTCCAACACAACCTGTTATTATATGTAATCCATGATTAAGAATCTCTTATATTCAAACGAATATCTCCTCAGTTTCGTATACTGTACAACAGTTTATACCTAAAATTGTAATCAAATTATAATATTAGTTCATGAAGTGTCCAAATTACATTTTACATAAGTAAAAGCTATGCTGATTAGTATTATTATTTTCAATAACTTTAATTTTAATGACATTACCATGTACTCTTCTAACAGATGGTCGATAAATATCATATGTCTATTTATTTCATCTGTATATTTTGATCAAAAATCAATTTAGAGCTGTCGATCCATGAAAAACTAGCTGTACTCAAAATGCATCAATGTAGGTATGTGGAAATTAAAAAAAGGAACAGTTTCATACTGTATCTAAACAGACTTTTTTTTCTCATAATACTTAATTGTTATTATTATACTGTTGCAAAAACAGCAGGATTGTAGAATAAAAAAAAAATTCGTTAAAGAAATATTCGCATTACGATAACTAATTGCATTGATTTCTAGCGTGACATTACACGCAACTGAAAGTATAAGATAGTTAAAACGAAAGTACTGACACGTAGGAAACTACCTGTAATACGACAGTAGGCCATTTGACAGGACGAACCATCTTCGCTGGTAACCTTTTAAATAATTAGTCCACTTAAAGAGCCAGCCTTTCATCTCCTGTGTACCGTGTTGAGCCTTCGAGTCACCCATTTTATAATACGTTGCGTGCTCACACGCGTTTCTCCTGAAATTATAATGCACTCCAATATCTGCGTACACATCACCCGTGTCGTACAGCCACCATTTTGATATTTCTCTAGCCCACAGACTGTGCGCACTTAGATTGAAAATTGTATTTATACACACTGTTAGTGAGTTCGTAATACACCAGCAGCAATACCAACAGAGTCGAGAGGGTGGCTTAAAAAGTACGATATTCGAAAACAGTATGGATTCTCCTTTCACACAACGTGGTAAACTCGCCACGTTCCTCAGTGACACGGTGCCTAACCTTTATTACCGAGTTACCTATATAAATGCTTGTATTCGTCCATATACGAACACATACAAATTTAATTATGGATAATCTGTGATTCTGCAGATTTCTTGACGTTTTATCATCCTATCTCCCTCTTTATTCTACTGCGAAAACCGACTTTAATTCATCGTAATATAAAAAATAAGTCATCGATATTTGATAATGATATGAAATTTTTATGTAAAGAAGAGATGTGAAATGTGAAATAAAAATTTTAATAAATTTTCAAATTTCTAACATTATTTCTGTACTATTTTCGATTTTCGATTTAAATTGATACCAAGTTACTATAGTTCTCGCGAAAATGAAGAGAACTGTATAAAACTGATGTCATTTCTTATATTTTCCCATTGATGTAAGAGGAAAATAAAGTTTACATTTAGAGATCACATGCCAAATATACCTAATACGTATGTAGACAATGAACATAGAACACGTGATCGTTTAATGTGAACACATTTATTATGTCACAAGGATTAACGAAATTTTTACGTACTTCTTAAAACGAACACGCCAACGAAAATACGTTCGTTCTGTCATTTGGCAAATTGTGTGTACGATCTGTTCAGATGAATCGTTCCGCTCGAGAGAAATGTCATGAAGAAGGAGCACTCGCTACACTCTTCGATTAGATGCTTAATACTGACCATTATCTTCAAACCAAACCAAGCTCTTAATTTATCTGAGCAAATCACACAACGTAAGAAGTACTTGAGTGTCTCTTCATTCTACTGTACGAAGAATATATTACGAATTTCAATGTATTAATAACTATGTGCTCACCTCACATTTTTGCACTATATACGTACAAAAAGACGGAAATACAAATTTTGAAATTGATTACATAAAGTAATTGTTATAGTAAGATGATTCAATATTTCTTCGTAATTTTGATAAGATTTAATAAATTGTAACAGGTACAGTTTGTTATCTTACCTTATCGGTAACATGACAATGGATACCAACTTTATCAAAACTTACCGACTGTCGGTGGAGCGATCGATAAGTCGGTAAGTAGTAGCTTCTGCGGTTTTCCGACAGGGTGTGCTAGTGTCTTCGGAAAATCGATCGGTATGTTGTCGAGTAGTTTCCGTCGTTTTTAATTAGATGGCGCAAGGGGTTCAAGGTATCTACTGCCATCATCTGGTCCTGAAACTGTTATGTCGTATATTTAGTAGCTATCCACATATCGTAAGAAAGAAACTGTCGCGTTCGTGATTTACGAACAACAAATGGCTAACGCATTAGGCGCAGTTGATTGGGAAGGTAGATTATGTTTGACACGAATATTGCTTTCATTAACATATCTTACTGTTCTCAATCATTACACCTAAAAAGTTTTGTACCAAATAACATCACACCTTGTTTTGACATATGTCATTTTAACGTTAATTAAATTATCTCCATTGTATCTTACAAATAATTGTAATTTTAATTTAATGGTTCTTATTAAGATTAAATAAAAGCTGAGAATTTTCACTTTCCAGATATCAATTTCAAATATTTTACTTTTCTCAGGTCAAGATTCAATGGAAACAAAAAGAATATAATTGCGAGAATTTTTGCGCTTATATGTGTATGTAATTATAGCTATAACATTCGTTTTATACGATTTTTAAATAAAATTTTGTAATAAATTGTTTCATACCAGTTATTATATAAATTATATACTGTTAGTTTTCTTAACCCTATCAGACTAGTTTATCAGTAATCGTTTTCATCAAACATGAAATGAAATTTCGATTTGTTAATTATAGTTGTTTGTTCAATATTTATATACTGAACTCAAGCAATACTTTTATTTATTTGTTATTAAAGGAATTGGAATTGTTGTTGCTGTTTATGCTATGTCATTAATAATTTGTATGCTAACTTATTCTACTTTTTTCAGATTTAAGAAGACAAGCAAGACATTTAGAAAATGAAATTGATGCAAAATTGGTAGCATTCAGTAAGCTTGGTGTTAATACTGGATCCAAGCTTGTTAACTCTGATGAAGTACCACTTTTGGATGAAGAACATGTTTTTGAAAACATGGCTTCTGAAATAGAAGCATTGCTTGCTAAAGTAAGTGCAAGATTTTAGCATTAAGTTTTAATAATCTAAATTATATGTATTTGGTACAGTTATTCTCTATAAATGAGAGAATGGGCGAGTTACAGCCAAATGGTGCTGCAATGCTACACACAATGCAACGTCACAAAGATATATTGAAAGATTACAAATTGGAATTCAGTAAGATCAGAAATAATTTTGCAGCAAGAAAAGATAGAGAAGATCTATTAGGAAGTGTTCGTAAAGAAATTGAGTACGTATAAATACTACATTGTAATTTAAAATTATTACATCGATTTTTGAATGTTTCATTGAATTTATCAATTTTTCATGAAATAGTAATTACAAAAGTGCAAGCGGACTAAACCGTCGGGAAATGTATTTAAAAGAAAATCAACACATTCACAAGTGAGTATAATTCACTGAAAATTGTATTTTTGCGCATACTATAACTGATAAAATGATGAAAATGATCCTCTTTATTATGTGTGGTCATATACAAAATTAACTGTTTTTTCAGTTCGGATCGTTTAATCAATGATCAGATAAATATAGCGATGGAAACGCGTGATCATCTGATGACTCAGAGACAAACGTTCAAGCGTCTACAGACCAGACTTAACGATATTTCAAATCGATTTCCGGCGGTAAATAGTTTGCTACAAAGGATAAATCTGCGTAAAAGACGAGACTCTCTTATTCTCGGTCTCATTATTGGATTTTGCACATTTCTTATGCTGCTATATGCTTTTCATTAAATAATACCAAAGTACTTCCGCCCCTATGAAGTTAATAATTCATCGATGGGAATGCATATATGTAGAAGAGGTATTTGGTGACTGTATTTTATGACATATAACAGATAGGAAACGTTGAAATTGAAAAAAAAAAAAAAAAAAATGCCTGGTTATGCACGATTATGTGTAAATGAATTATGAATGGTCGAGTGAATGTTTCTGTCCTTATAAGAAAGTAAGAAGAAATGTTAAATTGTACAGTTTTTTTATTACCTAACATAAGTCGTGGGTCAAACCATGTAAAAAAAATTTAATCCACGATTGACATGTTAATAAACGTTAAAATGAACGGTGGATATTTTACGCATTTTAAAATTATTTGTACTTGTTTCGATCTCCTATGTACACAGTTCTATTATATAGCAATTATCAGAAAGAATTTTAAGTATGCTTATGCTTCGTGAAACAAGACTGCAACCATGCTTTTTTTTAAAAAGAAAGCTTTATAGAGTTGGAACTAAAGAAACTAAAACTGTATGATTTTATATGTAAAAGAACAACAAAAAAACTGAACAAAAATCTTAATTAACTGCTGCAGTACAATAGACTGATACTTATATAAGACATTTTATTTGCTATTTATATAATTTTATGCAATGCACAATACTAAGTCTGCGCTTGCAACAGAAAACAATTTACATGGTTTTTCTTTTCTTTTACGGAAATCCATTGTATTTTATACGTCAATGAATTAATGTTTCTCGTTAGCTTTTCGCGGTACAACATATATGTACGTTCAAAGCAACAAGAGGGAAAAGTAGCATACGCATCATTATTATTTTAAGTTACACAACAATGGAGGAAAATAATGTTAATGCGAACGTTATAATAGTGGGTTTGATATTCGAAAGATCGATTTCTTTAGCACTGTTTTTCATTTTTTTTTTCTTCCTTTTCTTTTTCTTCTTCTTTTTTTTTTACTAAGTATTGATTTTACATACACAAACATTTATACATGTATATATACACATGCAAGTACATATATATATGTATATATGTATAGCATTTTCAAAATCGCTCATTCAGTTTCACAAAACACAGCACATAACGAAAGGGAATCGTTTCGGCAAGTGCAGTGCCTGTTTCCACGTATACTAGATACCACATTTATAAATTACACCTTGTCTGTAATAGGAACTCAAGCAAGAATTGTAAAAATATTGAATATAAGGTACACGTGTGACCTAAAACTGCTTTATATTCTTTAATATATATATTTACACTTTGAAATCTTTTCATATAAATCACAAATCACTTTCGGTATTAAAATTTCGTTAACCGACATTCTCGTTCCCAATTAGTTTCATTAAGAATCTCCACGTTTGTAATAAATTAGAGAAATTGAACGATATAAAACTGAATGGATGTTTTATCAAAATAACCGATTTTGTTTTAAAATGACAAAAAGTATTGAATAACGAACAAATACTAATCGAATAAATCATCTCTGTAATAATATATTAATAAATAATTTACTGGTATCATAAATGATTACGATCGAATTTTACAAAAGATAGAACACAATAAAAGTATTCTTATTTCCGCTACGTAGTACACGTAAATAAGATTTTTCTTTTCTTTCTCTTGTTTTATAAATGCAATATGTAGTGTATCCGTAGAAACGTAGTAGTTTATCTTTCGTACACTACGTCAAAACGATGTTTTTATTGTATTAAGGACAATATTACGAAGACAGGAAAATATTCACAGTGATAATTTCCAATTTTACAACGTCTGAAATATGTGAACAAGTTTTATTCACAATAATCTGTTCTTCTAATGGAGATTCTACTTAAAACGAATTCTATCGATTGCTTCGGAGTACTCTATCTTTTTTTTTTCTTTTCCCTATTTAATATAATCTGGATCTTCCCTTTGTTGTTACTGTTTTTTCCGTCATAAATGATAGATCAGAAGATCTAATTCGTTTAGTACTCGCCCAGGCGTACAAACAACAGACATCTACTCAATATACATGCGAATTGCATGACTACCTTATGATTTCTGAATATAAATATACTGCCATATGTATTGTTGAATCTAATCTTTTAATGCCGACTACTCATAAATTGAGAATATTGGGAGACGAGATTTTCTCTTTTCTTTTTCTTTAATTATTAATGATTTTTTCAATTTTCGTGCTAACGGTATTATCAAATTACTTCTAATAAAAGTAGAAAAACAAGACAAATAAAATAAAATATTCTCTCAAGTCTGATCACGGAATTGTGAATTTATAAAAAAACAAAAATTTTACGCTACATTGGCACTTCTTTAAAAACAATAAATATTTATTTAAATATATAGCGCAAAAATGTTATCTCGTCTCTCTATTTCTTTGTAATAGTAATAATAGTTTGTTTTCAGTGGGGGTACTAGCACTAATAATAATAGCAGTAGTGTAATAATATTAATGGTAGCAGTAGCAATGGTCATTAATTAACTATTCGATCAATTCAACGATTAAATAAAAATTGGAACAGTTGCGTATACATCTGTACTTTCCAGCGAGAATTGATCGTTTCGCACTGCGTTTTTTATATAGTACTAATACTACTTAATTTTTTCTCCGAGTTATACTTCGGTTAGTTAATCAGTCACAATACACGAGTAAGCGAACTCTTTCCTATCTCTAAGATTTCACAATCGATTCTCACTGGATGTTGCTTCGTTTTCCAAGATATGATTAGCGTTAAGATACAGTTTTTTTTAAATCGTACGAATCACTAATTTCATTTCGTGCTTCCTCGTAAAAATCGCGTTTCTTTTCATGTTCCATTTCTTAATTTGACTGATGCATAAAATAAAGCTATCCCACACTGACTGAAATTAACTCACACGCGTGATTTTCAGAAATGTAATCTAATCTGTCCTACACGTGATAATACGAATCCTAATATCCTTTTTTTCGTGCACAGACAAATTTGTTTCATATATAATCATAAACTGTATAAAAGTAAGGTTTCTAATAATTTCTGTCCTTTTTTTTTTTTTTTTTGACAACGTGAACAAGGTGAATGAAAATACAAAAAATGTGTACCCGGTAACGCCCAAATCAATGCGAGCGTAATTTACGACTAAAATAAAAAAAAATTCTAACTACTTACGACATTTGTATATCAAGATGTGACGGGCGAGAGAAATACGTTTCGTTAAAACTTATAAAATAACAACGTGAGAACCTAACGAAGAGATACGTTTAGATTTCAAAAATCCATAAATCGCAAATGTTCGTGTCACGCATTCATTTCACTCGTCATATTCGATAGGACAATAAAACACTGGTTGGTAGATGGTCATCTGAAAATCTACCTTATAACATCTCGATAATTAACACGTTAATCCATGTTTTCGCCATGCATTTGCAAGTGCACCCTCTCCTTATATGTCACTTTTCTTGAAAAACTAAGCAGAGGGATTTGTCCACTGTACGTTATATTCTTATTAATCGCTTCTTTTGGTCCTGTTTTAAATAACAAATGATTATTAATAATCGTTCTATTTTAGTTCAATTTTATAAGATCGATTTTTACCTATGAAAGCGAATTAACGTGATGTTCAAAATGTAAGTTCTTCGGTGTTTTCAGAATCGGATGAAAGTTCTTGTCGTAATATTTCCATACAGGACTTTGGAATAAGAGTACCAACTATCTTCAATCCTTCGTCTGTTAAAAGAAGAAAAAAGTTGATAAGAATTCTGAACAATTGTGAAAATTTGACAAAACAGTATTTAAATAGTATATTACCGGTCCGTAACCGCACAACTTGCATCTTAGAATTGTGACCAGAACGTGTCGCGAGAATACTTTCTACCCGACTCCATACGCTTAAAACTGAACCTGACAGAACATTATAGGAACGCCTTCGAAGACCAACCTCGCAGTCCATACCAATAGTTACGTTTTTACAATTACCGCGCCAATAAGCGTGAGAACACGTATCTACAGAAGCTTCATACTGTTGCGACCAGTGTGGTTCTGCTTCATCTGACGATACTTTCTTATATTTCTTCTCTAATTCGCCTAGAGTTTCTTGTCTTAATTGTAATCCTGTATTGGGCCTTAAAAAAAAGAAGAAGAAGAAAAAAAAAAATATGTATCATGATAAAACTTATTTTTAAGTTGTAATCCTTTTTTTTCTTTCAAGGAAGAAATTAAATACCATACCTATAAACCATGTACAATTGATCTTTCTTGCTTTCAGATTTCTTTTTTCCACCAGTTTCTACAGCAACAGCGAGGATTGCCGTTTGTTTTCCGTTACGAATTTGATGACTCAAATAAAATCCCTCTTTGGACCCTGTTAATTCAGAAAATTTATCTATCGCTTCAGACCAATTCATTCCACGTTCAACGTGTACAACGTGGAGCTCGGTTGGCGCTTTTCCAGTGGCATGTTTTCGTAAGAAACGATACAATTTAACCCTTTTCACATTTTCTCCAGAAGTACCGAGATCGAGTATACCCATGTCAAAACGACCGGTCTTTTTCGCTTGCGTGACAATCGCGTTCAACGTGTCGGTGAAATATTTGAACAAACGGTTTTGCAAATCAACAGGCATACCGAGAATACGATTCAAAAATTTCGACATGTTATTATAGTCTTTGTCCAATGTGAGTACGCCAGGTGTGCTTTCGCTATTGCAAATCAAACCAACACCCACCAACGCTTCAGCCACGTCTTTGAAGAAGTCTCCATGATAATCTTGAGGTGGTGGTACAAGAGGCGGTTCGTACTTCATTATGGTTCTCATTGTTGCTTCGAGAGCGGCACGACCATATTTATTATCGATATTAAATTGTGAAAGGTCTCTCGTTTCCGTGGCTCGTCTATCTCCGTGTGTAAGAGCGCCGAGACTTTCCAGACGTTTCGCTACAATAGATGCGAATCGCCGTTCACCTGCCAAGTCCGAAATAAGAAATATGTACTCTGGTGCATTCACTTGATTCGAACGATGCGTTCGTCCAAATTGCTGGATCGCTCTATCGGCACTCCATGGTAATTCAAGAGTAATATGCACTCGTCGCATCTGATTTCTAGCTCGTCTATCACTTTGCAATGATATACCACTGCTAGCTGCTTCAGAAATAATGGCTACCGTTTTCTCACCATCCATAAACCTTTGTTTTTCTGTTAAATTAAGCGTTTCCAGAGGTACATCTACTTCGGATCTAGATTCGTATTGAATAGTGCCATCTTCTGTCTGAACAACCCGCCCTTTTCTACCAGTCATTTCAGCCACGTTTTCTGGACCACCAAATTCGTCTATCAATTGATCCAAGGTATTTGGTGGAAG